ACATTCACATAATTTATTTTTATTTATACTGATTTATAGCCATTCGGTAACTTAAATTTTATGTGCTACTTCCGTTTTCCTAAAAAGGAGTTCCTCCAAGTTTGACTGATATAGAATACTATTAAACACGCGTACTAGTTCATAAGGTATAAATAAATAAACAAAACAAAATGTATCATTGTAAACAAGTGTCAATGACCGATGAGAGGTCATTGGTGTTACGCGACATTTTTTGATAAAACACAAGTGCATTCAATCAAGTAAGACACTAGGTACATTTAATTATATTTTTAATGAAAAAGATGCAGGAAAGGGTTCGTTATTATTTTGACTTTATTTTAAAAAAAATTAAAATTAAAAAGGTGAGTTGGTAAAGTAATTTAGATGGTAAAAACATCTAGTTTTTATTAAATTTAGAACTAATTAAAATACGACAGATTCTCTGGAAGAGGTTGCATAACAATAAAACCACCTTTTGTACTACATTATGCTTATTGAAAATTATCAACAAGTCCTGTAACATTGATACAATAAAGTGTAAAATAGATAAAATCTTTATTAAGATATAATCGTTATTTTTATTATCTTACTGCTGGATTCGAAATATTGTTATCTGCTGCGAAAAACCCGCAAAAACTTAACAGCTACTCTTTTTAATTTATTTATATATAAAATAATTTTACACTTATATGGGTACTGTAATGATTTATATTTGAAATATCATGTACGGTATAACATATACAGAAAGAAAATACAATAAAACTGAGAACTTCTTAACTTTTTAAAATTGGTAAAAAGTTAAATATTTATTGAATTTCGAACAGCAATATCACAGATAATATAATACTATACTAGTGCAATAGTATGCAATAGGAGGGAAAGGAATTGTTAGTAATGTAGACTGAGAATCCCATTGCTAGCAATATACCCAATCAGGTCGACCTCCTCACGGTTCTCCCTGGAAACTATCGTGGTTAATTCCTGATGAATTCGTCATAATGGGCTAACTGACCTGTTTTCATTCTCACCTATCACCCTTCACTGGTGCTCCGCCAGCGTATCCCGTTAGCGCAGGCGGGGTTACCATACCATTTACACCCATCAAAAAAAAAATACTATGCAATATTTCCTTTGATAAATCAGATATAAAAATGCGGTTTTCTTATCACAAGAACTCGCACTTTGCTATTGACATTTTGATATGCATTCCGTGCACAGAATAATACGTGATCAAACAAGATTACATATCTATTTGTACTGTTGCACCTGTAATCAAATTTTCAATGGGTGTCTTCGTTTAATAGACTATATATAGTGATAGAATGAAGTGACTACATCAAATTTGAATAGAACTAATCATTTTAGTACTAAATTAAGGACATTGTAAATACTAAACTAAAATTATCTGTATATTTTTGTTTAGGGACCAATCATCTTAATAACATATCATCTTCCAATTTTGCTGTAGCTAGACCGTTTCGAAATATTACCATATAAGTTGTTAATTATCCACTGCTAGGCCACCCTCTATTGGGGGGTTTTGGCAGGAGTTGCACCCTTGGCAGACGGGTTGGCAACCAAAAACCAGAGCCTGGTGTTATTTTCGTTTTAATTATTCTTCGACCTTTAAGTTCCTTTGATCGCCTCTTACGATACTCACGGGAATGAAAGGGGTGGCCTATTCTATACCGGGATGATACCACAGAAATATACGAAAATATTAATTCGTGATAAATTCGTATCGACGGACCAACTGACAACTGATCTAACTTCATCCTCGTTTTTTCATCTCTCTACTGGTGTCTCGGCATTGCATCCAATTTTTTTTTTCATTAAATTCTTATAGAATTATAAATGTAATATTATTATAGAATATAATGAAAAATAAATGTTTTTCGACAAAATTTATATCAAAAACAGTTTTATGCAACTTAGAATGGCAAACAAGCTGACGGCCCACCTGATGGAAAGTGGTAACCGTCGCCTATAGTATATAATGCCATGTAGGTACATAACAGAGTGTACTGTGTTGGCTATGATAACCCTCATGCGTCGCCATTTCTGACGATTAAGAAATATGCATAGGCTGTGCCTGTGTTTAAACAACCTATTATCGTGGTAATACCACAAGTTCAATGTCGAATTCTGACACCACTTTTAGAGTATAGGTAATAAAGAAACAGTGATCCATGGCCAAACTCCAAATATGAATGCAAATTGAGTGAGATCATTTTTGTGAATGTTACGCCTCCGCTATTTTTAATACCTATCAGAATATGCGAGTTCCAAATTATCGAGTTATTGTGTTTTTGTGAACCGATTTTGATAAAATTAGTATGGGACCAATCTGCAAGTAATCCTTTTAAATAAAAAAAAGAGTTTTACAAATCGGTATACGACTAACGGAGTTATGAGGTAACAAACATAAAAAAAAAACACAATCGAATTTAGAATTTATTTGTTGAAGTCGGTTGAAAATAGCTAAAACATAGATTATTGACGTTGACGATTCCAAATCTGTCTTCCCATTCTCAAGTGATAGTCTTATCAATGAACAGTATAAAAATAATACTCATGACCGAAATGTCTTGTGGTATACTTGAAGGCATTAATTTAAATCGACTGCATAAAATTTTTAGTGCATTTAATTTATATATAATATATATATATATATATATATATATATATATATATATATATATATATATATATATATATATATATATATATATATATATATATATATATATATATATACTTAATTAAACAGCTTTTACAATTAAAAACAACACAATTTAGGTATTTCCTTTATATATAATATTTACAAGGTTTGTTAATATTGTTTGTATACTGATAAAGCCGACAATTTACTAAATAGGTAGGTGAGGTACGTTTTCTTGTAATCGTACAGGTACTTTTATGTGTACTTAGTTTATATTATACTTATTCGATGTATAATTTTAAACTTTATAATTAGGACATTAACACTCGTATCATAAACGAGGCAATTTTTTTATGGATGACACTTTTACCCGCAATATCATCTGCGTAACCGGGTTAAAAGGTAGCCTATAACCTTCTGCAGGTCGTATAGTATGTGTATACCAAATTTCATAGTTTTTAGTTAACCCGTTGAGGCGCTATAAGATAACTAAAAAGATGATGGGTGAGGATGAAAGCACGCCAGCTAGCCTATCGTGGCAAATGCCATAAAAATTAACTAAAATAGTTTCCAGGGGGAAACCGCGTGTTGGTCGACCTGATAGGGTATATTTTTAGCAATGGGGCTATTATAACCCCATTACTAACAATCTATTCTACCCAACAAGGCTAATTGTGATGTAGCTAGTCTAGATTATGTATATCTTCCATGATTCAGATAGGCAGTTATGTGTTAGCTCAACAAAGTTCCGCTTGGACAATTCGTATTTCATTATACCAAATTGTACTAATTCCGGCATTTACAATTACAAGCAATATTGATCTTTATTCATATACGTATAAGAGATACTAGATTAATGTTAGTATCCGTATAATACAAAGGTATACGTACTCTTATGCTGCAATAGTCATACTAGGATCTATTATACAATCTCGTGCAATTGTGAATTTTACGCACCATTTGCTACTTATAGGGCACTTAAAATTTTAATGTATCTATTTAACCCCCTTATTCGTAAGAACTAAAACGTACTACACAACAAAACACTCAAACAGTTAAAATCTGTTGGAATGTTTTGTCTTTGTCTGTCAAATTGAGAAATTAGCACAAAAGAAAAGGACAAACCACTTCAATATCTAAATGAGGTTTTTAAGAGGTTTTACGTTTTTATGAATAAGACGGTTAGTTTTTGACAAATCGAAATTCTTAGCAACCTCTTATATAAAAGTGTTCTTAGCAGTCTAACTAAAATCTTCCCAAACTACCATGGGCCATCAAAAATTATTAAAAAAAAATTAAGCCTCTTTACAGCTGGACACATGTTAATGCCTATTTACGTATGTTAACACAAATTTTACATCTGAGAACATTCATTACCCTGAACATTCAGATCCTAATAATATGTATTTTTTTTTTGTTTCCTGAATTAATTCAATTGAGAATCGAATCCGGGATCTTGTGTACATAAAGCAATGGGCCTAAACGACTTGGTTTTTTCACACTCAGGTCTAATCAGAATAATTCCCAAATTCTTCAATTATTTTTTTAATTAGTGAAAAAGAAGTAATGATCCTGCCTGCAAACCTCACTGGTGCCCCACCAGTGAGGAATAATAATTGAGGACGAAGTAAGTCAGTTAGGCTATTGTAACGAATCCAGCAATAGGCATTATAGTTTCTAAGGGGAACCGCGTGGAGGTCGACCTGATAAGGTACATTGCTAGAAGGGGGCAGTTAGACCCTATTACATACAATCCCTTCTCCCCTCCCCCCATTCAAATTCGTTTAACCGTTTTAAGTAATAAACATCCAAAAATACAAATCTCTATACAACTTTCACATTTATAATATTAGTAGAAATAGAATAAAAATACTAAACTTAAAATACAAAATTATACATGATATATAACCTCATTCTAGAGTTCTAGACATGACCTTACGTAACTTTATTAACAAGCGAAAGCGTGTACACAACTTAGTTTTGTTCACGCTTAAATGAATTATGGTTTGTTTACACCATTGTATTTGCTGAACGATCATTAACTAAAATTAAGGCAATTTAATATACTAATAAACATAACATTTATAAATTATTCCGTAAAACCATAAAGCTATATATTAGATACCTATTAATTTTTAAATTAATTTGAAAATAACGGACAATGAGGTGCCATAAAATAAACAAACAAAACTCGTGAAAAATAAGAAACATAACAGAAAAATAACAGTCGATTAGTGACGAGGCGCTAAGTCAGTCTAACTTATTTGGGACGTTTGTTTTAATATTCATTATATAATGAGTCGGCGTCGATCGCACGCCGCGCCGCGCTTTCACTCAGTCCGCGATATTACCCACAGACTGCTGTATTCAGTCGTCTCTATTTATTCAACTGTTCGTCACTAAAAAGATAAAGGAATCGGCCAAAAGTAGCGAGTTACACGACGTTCGTATCTTATCGTATCCACTCTATTGATCACTCGCCATATATCGCTGAAGGTCCGCCTTATACGGACGGCTCGACCACCTTTATTGTCCAATTTAACTTGCAGACGTGTACTCTTTTATACTCGCGATGTTACCGGTGAAGTCATAATGTGTGTCGTACAAAAATAGAAATACAGAGTTTACAGGAAAATAGTATCAATAACAAAAGTGTTGCGGTTTGTTATCGAACGGAAATGGCCACGAAATCGCCTATGAGTGTGAGCTCGCGGGAAATGATCGGCGTGGATCAGTTCAGTCAGAGGCGGGAAGTGTTCGACAAACACGACACTGTGTTCATGCCGCTACCGTCGCCTACCACCTTGACGCCCGTCCACGGGGAAGTGGAACAGATCATCACCTCCAACCACGGGATAACGACTTCCAACTTCAAACGGAACACTCCCCGGTATTCCAGCATGCGAGAGTCGAAGACAGACGAACGAAACTACGATTTTCGACCGCGTAAATACTCGGATAACTTTACATCAGAACTGAACCAGAGTGACGACGTAGACTACAGGCATAGTCAGTCAGAGAGGACCCGTCGACTTTCTAAACTCAGAAGAGATTTTCTGGCTTCAAATTTACATGACCCTAGTGACAATTCATTCGTGCGAACCGGCACGCGAGCTTCTTTGCCTGTTAATTCTACAAGCCCACTAACGTATAAAATTGAGACTCCTAATCTTTACAAATTTCCTTTCGCCGAACCATTCTCAACACCGACACCGCCTCGTAAAGTTTTCGTAGATTTAGGATCGAACGATAATCCGGACGGCAAGGAAAATCAGGATCCTGCTGTGAAAACTAAACATGAGAGTTTGACGAATAATGATTCGCCAACTAAGATTGAACGTCAAAAATTCTTTGAAGATTTAATAAAAAGATATTCACCACAACGTAAACCAATTGACTGGACTTTGCCTCCAACAAGACCTAGAGTTGTTTCCTCCGTTCCAAAATCGAATTCTAGCGCGTCTGATATTGTCGATAATGTTGGAAAATTTAAATGTACTGAAAATTATGACAAAGACGACGATGTATTTAAAAAGAAAGAAGACTGTAACGATTCTGGTAAAGCGAACGGTGGTTTCGAGGAGAAACTACTCCAAAATGGTCCTGAAATAATTATAGATGGAATAAATAAAGAGAATGGTAAAAACGAAACGGATTTAAAACTATCCTTGACGGAGTTAGCAGAAAAGAATGATCGCCTCTCAGAATTATCAACAGTGCAAAGACAATTAAGTAGAGAATCCCAGAAGAAGTTGCATATTGAGAACGATTTAACCATTCCAGCGTTGATAGAAAAAATATCAACAGAAGGCGATAACTTGGAAAACAATAGAAAAAATACAAAAAAAGTAAAAAGGAAGCGAAGTTTTCTAGACAAGCTGTTGGGGCGCAAGAAAAATACAGTGAAGTGAGAATAACTATGTATTAATTTATTACACGCACCTGCCAAAGATTATATCAAGGTTACGTAGGCACATGACGCCACAGTCGATATAAAATCAATAGAAAAAGACGGAAATATAGATTATGCATAAATAACGAACTTTATGGATGATAAGTAAATTTTATTTGTATAAAAATAATTAAGGCCAGACTTCCTCTGTTTTTTATCTTAATGCAATTGGGTTTGGTTGGGTTATCAACGAAGCTGATAAATGTAAGTGCCATGTGACACTATCTGCCAAATTCTGAGTATGATAAAGTTATGACTTGGAGTAAAATATTTTTGTATTCCTATTTAAAATATTATGTTTGTTTGAAATTTCATTTAATTTTCACGACAAAATAATTTAGTATAATCTTAACGACCCGATATCAAATGTAAATAGACTTATTTTCTTAACTATAATTGTGGTAAAAACTGACATTGATAATAAAAAAAATATTATTTAAATTATGGCTAGAATAAGTTACGAAACGTTTTTCTTTAATAAAAATAGTATTCTTATTTTTTTATAAAATATAATTTAAATGAGACATTGACGAATAATTAAAAGCCTTCATTAAGAAATGTCTTTCTGAATATTTTATTTCATAATAAAGCTCGTTCTTTGTAAACAATGTTTTTAATTGTAATCATCCTTAGCAAATAAATATGAAATAATCTTGTTAATTAATCAATTAATAGAGCACGCGATTGATTTTAAATATCTAAAACTAGTAGATAGATAGAGGCCTACAAAAGAGTATTTATAAAAGGATCATCACAAACGGTTCATAATTAGCGAAAATATCAGTTACAAATAATGTAATCAGTGGAATTTGAACCATTTTAAAGTCAGTAAGTAATTGAGTATTCAATACCGCGTTTAATGGTCTATATTCTAAGTTATGTTAGAATTTTAAACAATATTTCAATAAAAGTATATTAATTACTACGATAAGACACTAACTAAATAAATAAATTTATTGCTAAATTTGAAACATAGTGAAAATATGACTTTTAAATAAAAAAAAAATATAATTTCAATTATTACTCAATATCATAATATTTTTAAAACTAATAGCAAAATATGTAATTAAATGGCAAATATTCACTAATGGATTTATAAGTTAATTGTTATAATTAATAATTAAATCAAATTACTGAAAAATGTTTAACTAGTTTTTAAAAACTTCGGTATAATAATCTTAAGCTATTCAGTATATCCATTTTTGTAAAATTAACGATTTCACGGCTAAATGCCGAACCAATTTGGTTAAAAATAGGTGGACCAAGGACATCATTATAAATTCAATATGGTACACGACGTCAAAGTTATTTGATAAATATGTTGAATGCATAACATTTCACTTAAAATACTATTATTACTGGTGTACGAGTAACGCCCCCTGATAGCAAGTGTTCCTAGGCGGCCTTCGTTATATATTACACTAACGGCCTGTCCCGACCACGCACGGGTGGACATTTTTACAACATTTTAAAAAGTGGTTATTGTGATATAACGATAATAGTTGGACATATAGTATCGCGAATTTTTTTGTAGTTATTGATATTTTCTTCAATTTTGTAGAACATACTTTTGTTCTATCACCAATAGTTTCCACAGCGCAAGCGCCGAAAGATATTTTATAGCATTTTTTTACACCTTGAGTTACGTTATTAAAGTTTTAGTGGGGATCCTTAATCTTTTCTAGTAATAAATATAGCCTATGTTACTCAAGGTGAATGTATCTTTCTAATGGTGAAAGAATTTTTGAAATCGGCAATGTAGTTTTTGAGTTTATTCATTACGAACATACTTCGTCTATGTATCAAATTTCAATAAATACTATAAGCCGTTTTAACAAGTACAAGAAAAATTATTGCATATTTTTACGTACTATTGCTAATCTGGCGGCCTCTATTGTCAAGAGTTTCTAGGCGGCCTCGCAGTTGTACATACGAGTAAATAATAATTTTGATATCTAATGTGACTGATAAAACGTAAAAGTTTGTGAAGATATTTTAATGTTTGTTACATAATTACGTTTAAATGGATAAATGGATTTGAATAAAATTTATTATACAACACAATTACATTGATAGCTCATATTCTAACGTAAAATACATTCAGACATATTTCTTACAACATGGATATATCTGATTCACGTGAACAAAGCTGCCATTTATAGATAGTTTATAATTAGTACGGTGATAATTGTATGCCTTCAGATGGTGATAATGAGTTCTAATCCGCCAGATGTATCATAGTTATGAGTAGAAATATTATGAAAGGAATGTTTCGATTAAAACACATCTCCCACTCTTTTTTTTACTCTAAGTCAGAATACACTAATATATCTACACTAATATTATAAAGAAAAGATTTGATTTTTTGTATGTTTGTCTGTAATGGATAAACACAAAATCCTCTTAACCGATTTAAAAAATCCTTTTACCTATAGAAAGCTACATTTATCAACAAATAACTTAGGCTTTTTTATTTTGCCGAAAGCGGAGGGATACAATATGTACGTGCAAAATAGACATACGAAGAAACACAATTGTACTTTTTTTTAATGGATGATAATGGAATGGATGATAATGGATGAACCTGCGCTATATTAGCAATGGGGACAAACCCTCCTCATTACTAACAATCCCCCCCCCCTATATAATTGTATTTACCTACATCCGCTTATTAATAATTTGTTTATAAAACTGTTTTATATCTGCATTGGTATTCTAAATTGAGGATAAGTTTTTGAAAAATGTGTTTGAAAAAGAACCAAAGTGACCTATAAGGCAGGTAATAGAAGATCACTCAATACGATATTCACGGTTCATCGAATTTTAATTACATTTAGTAGATAGATTTACCGTATGCATACATACATACATAGAATTCTTTTATTCTACTTCAAGTGTACAAAGACGAAGGATACAAATCTATCTCTCTCTCTCTTCAGTCGTACACTCTTGACAGAGCGGTGGTGGTTTTTACATTAACAGTGGATCGTCGATGAGGCTCTCCTTCGCGATTGAGGTCCTCGTAATATATCTCCATTTACTTCTGTTCACAGCCGAGCGAGAACATTCCACAATAGACTGCTGTGTGGCCGTTTTGATGAGGTCAGTCCATCGCATTGGTAATCTACCCCGAGAACGTTTTCCTTGTACCGCTCCATGAACAATTAGACGTAGGATACAGATAGTATACCGGAAATTTTTGTGGGCCAATAATGGAATGGTAATTCACCTATGGAAACCATCGTGCTGAATTCCAGATGTATTCATTACGATGGGCTAATTGATCTGCCTTTTTATTCTCACCTATCACCCCTCACTGGTTTTAATGGATAATAATGGAATGGTAACCCCGCCTGTGCTATCGGTATACACTGGCGGGGCACCAGTGAGAGATAATAGGTGAGGATGAAGCAGGTCAGTTAGCCCATCGTGACGAATCTAACAATAAATCAATCACGATTGTTTCCAGAGGGAACTACGAGGAGGTCGACCTGACAGTATATTGCTAGCAATGAGGCTACTAATCCCCATTACTAACAATCCCCCCCCCCGCTAGTATTAGCGCAGGCGGGGTTACCATTTCATTATCAACCATTGAAAAAAAATAGGTCCCCATTATTAGCAATCCCTTCCCCCAAATATACCAAAGAAAAGCTTTATACAAAAGTCATCACGTCACATCACGTCAAGTCATCAGCACGGACACCTCTGTTGTGCTCGCGTTCCTGTCGTCAAGTAGACAGTTACTTGATAACATTTTTATGCCTACGGTAAGGCTGTCCATAAAAATAAAAAATGTTAATAAAAATAAATTCATAAACGTATTTAGGTGAATAGACTGAGTGGGCTGTGCGCACCTCAAAATCATCTGAAGCCCACTCCAAGATGGATGCAAAGCTTCACAGACATATCTGGCATATGCGTTCTTATTATATGTCTTCAGGGGCTAGGCCCAGTCTAGAAAATACGTCAATGATCCTATCATGACTATGTTTCAGTCTAACGAATGAGATACAGCAAATTATAGTGTATAAAGTATAGCACCTTAGTCCACAAAAATTCAATACATAATAGCCAAATTGTATTATTTTAAAACCTATGAGCCCGGTCTTTTTGTTATGGGTGAAAATAGAATGGTAACCCCGCCTGCGCTAACGGGATACGCTGGCGGAGCACCAGTAAAAGGTGACAGATGAGAATGAAAACAGGCCAGTTAGCCCATCATGATGAATTCATCAGGAATTAACCATGATAGTTTCCAGAAGGAACCGCGAGGAGGTCGACCTGATTGGGTATATTGCTAGCAATAATATTCTCAGTCTCCATTACAAACAATCCCTTTCCCCCACGAGCCCGGTATAGTCCCAGCATATATAGAATAAGCCACTCCTTCCTTTCCCGTGGGAGGATGTGTAAAAAGCGACTAAAGGAATTTAATGGTCAAGGCATAAGTAGCAGCGACTCACTTAAAATATCATTAGAGCCAGCGATTGCCAACCCGCATGAAGCGTAGCAAGTACTGGCAAAATCCCCCTGTAAAGGAGAGGGCTATGTTCAGCAGTGGACAGTTAACAGCTGTTATGTTTATGATGATTAGCTTTTCATATTCACCTGTGATCGAGGCACTTTCAAATACGCTATAGCTTGTTTACTATTCGAAGCTGCATAAAAAATAGTACATTGATGTTTGTGAAAAAAAAATTGTGTTTAGCTTTCATTAATTCTTAATTCTTCAGAGCGTCATCGAGGCGACCGTGGGTGTCGTAAGTGACGACACAGCGTCTAGAACAATAAGTCTTGATATCGTCCTTGGCTATTGTATTCTATATTTGTAGTATTCAACTTAGGTCATTATTTAAATACCTACTTTAACGAGACGGTAGAAAGAGATAGAAGATAATGGGGTCGATTGTGAAGTGTAATTCCCTAAAATACTTTAATTTTAAATTAATACTTTATTTAATGAAAGTTCTTTTTTTAATTTTTTAGTGATAATGGAATGATAACCCCGTCTGGTATCGGTAACCTCGCTACCGCTATTCGCTATGCGAATTCTCCCAGAACCACAAGGGGGGGGGGGGGGGGCCACGTGGGGATCAATCTGACAGGATACCTATATTGCTAACAATTGTATCGCTAGTCTCGGTTACTAACAAACACCTCCCTGAATATTATACAGTAAATATACTGTAGTGTTACAATTCTGTTCCCGTATAATAACAATTCCTTCAGGAAAACCTGATTATAAATAATATTTTACATATTTACCTGTTTACTTGTTTTAGCAGGAAAAGATTTAACAATGGTAGGTAAATGCTATTAATTAAATATCTAAGTTTATTTATATGTAATCAACATTTTTTCTGTCTAATATTATATTTAAAAACTAGATGAAACCTGTAACTTTGCCTGCAGTAGTCGTAGGATATGTTTTTACTCGTATTTCATAATAGAAATAAAAGTAATGTCTGTGGTCTACCTCTGATTTTTTTTTTTTTTATTTTTATTAATAATAAACGTCCTTTTGCTTTGTAGTAGGTGATATTTTTTCTATAAACCAAATGGCAAACGAATTCGTCGATGGAATCAACATCGCTAGCGAGTCCGTGAGATAGAATGAGATAGCAACGCCGGATGACTCATTCCAACTTACGGACTCACTAGCGATGTCGATTCCATCAACAAATTCGCTTGTCACTTGTCTAGAGAGCCTGAGAAGTAACAAAATAATTTGTCAAATAAGATATATGTTAATTGCTAATTTTATACTGAACGTACTAGTTTAATGCATCGTCCCGCTATTTTTATTATAATATTCTTTTATTTCGTATTTATTGGTGTATGCCGTATTTTTTACGTTAAATAAGTAAAATTTACATAATTCATTCAATTTTATGAATATTAAATAACTAAATAAGATCAAATCAATTATGTTTGTGTATTTTTAGGATAGATTAATTGCAATTTAGACGTATTTGTTTGTTTTTCATACACGACTTGTAATTCTATACTAGCGCCATCTACTAATGATGACGAAACGTGTTTCAAATACATTGAAAAATTTTAGTACTACGCTTTGAATTAAAAACATATTTAACTATATATTCAGGTGAATGAATGAATACAAATAGGATTCCTGTGGACTTTTAAATACTTATGAAATATCAATCCCGCTTACACTATTGGCATTCGCTGGCGAAGTACTAGTGAAGTGTTACGCGACTATGAAGTTAAATCAATTGACCCACAGTGACGCATTCACTAGGAATTAACGAGAGGGGACCGCGTAGAGTTCGACCCAAGGGTCAATAGGCCCCTAAACGCCATTACTAGGTTGTCTTGAAAAGATTGCTCTTAGCAATAAGACCGCCTTACTGTACTTATACAATTGTATCGTTGTGTTTGTAAATTGCCTTGCTTATTTCCTATATTGTATAATGCAAATAAAGTATACTCATTTATTCATTCATTCATACTAGCAATCCCCTCCTAGTCCCCCCGTTAAACGATATATGTATTCAAACCAATATCTGGCTCGTTTCAGAGATTTTTTTAATCTCTGAAACGAGCCAGAACGGTTTTAGCAAATGAGACAAATTTTCTAATATAAACAGATATGAATTTAATCTCAAATTTATTTGGTACTGAATTAATTTAAAGTAATAAATTCTATAGGAATGACTTGGAGAACATTTGTTTTTCATATTTATTTATATATCATTACTATGGAGTATTATTTGTAATAAAAATCTGAGTTGAAAAACACTTATTGAATTATATTATGATTCACATAATGTGAGTTCTTTTTTATTTCCGTTAATAAAAATTGCCTATTAAAGTATAATTCTGTGCATTAGTAGCCCTTGTTTTGCTATGAATTTTATTACCTATAGTTGTAATGATTACTACTTGGATATATAACAATTTTTTGCTAATATTATATAGTTATTAAGTGCATACATATGTATAATACAGTTAATATCTGCATAAGTAGGTAAATAGAAAATGTATATATAATATATTTATAATACATGGCATATTTAGTAAACAATTTTAATATAAAAAAATAATTTTATATTTAAACAACTAACAATTTATTAATTATTCATTTCCATATTTAATTTTTTTTTCTAATCTTAGAATGAGTTTTCAAATCTGTTCTTTCAAAACTAAGACATCAAAAAATTATATTAAGCCATAGTACTTACTTTTATAATTAACTTTTTTTTATCCTATTTTTTTTAATAAATTGTTCTTTTGATAAAAAGAACATACCACTATCATATATTTCACTATCACATCACTCGCTATCAGCAGGGAATGTGTCCTCACATCATAAAACCAGAAGGGTCACACAGTAAGGTTTTAGAGGAGCTTCCTCCTGTAAATACTCAGATTGTGGAATAATCTTCTTGTCGAGGCTTTCCCTAGGGACTATAGCATCGAGTTCTTCAATAAGATATTAAATTTTCTTAAAGGTCGGCAACGTGCGCATGACATCCCTATTTATAGGCATCCATAGGCTACGGTAACCCTATTCACCAATAGATGAATGCATGTTTGTTATAAATATTATTGTGTACTAAATATGGCAAGTGAAAAACAATACATACCCATATGTATTATTCCATGAGTAATACATACAAGTACATATTCCATGAGCAAACTTGTAGCTAAGCTACATTAAGATTTTTTTTTAATTTATTGAAAGTTTTACATCCTCAAATTAAATTAATAAATTTATTCTTTACAAAGAATCATATCTATGCAAATATAATTTTCATTAACATGATTTTTATTGAATATAAATTATATTTATAATTCAATAAATATATACTTATATAAATTACAAAAAAATTTACTACATCCATTTCAATTAATGTTTGAGTATAAAAAATTTCTACCCATGTGATAAATTACAAAAAATTTACAATATTTCGCTAATGTTTGAGTATAAAAAAATTTCTACCTATCTAAGTATAAAAATTGTCTATATTTCTTTATCTATTTTTCTTTTTAATCTGAGTCTAGATTTCTTACAGCTGCTTCTAAAGCAAACAGATGATCATCTTTAACATCAGGTACTAATTGGCGCATAGCATCAGCTAAATTATATAAATATTCCTTGTTGGTACCACTGGGACCTTTACACTTGATCACTTGTCTTGCTATATCTTCTATTGATGCTGGCCCTGTAATATAATTTTTAATTAAATTATACTTAAATTCAAAACAATAGGATCTACATTAATGTTACAATATATATTTGATATCAATAAGAGATGTAAATATTAAATATAATTATATAAATATTAAAAGTTTTTTAGATTAAACAACTTTATTAATTTACAGCGGTATCAATAGTGTCTTAACTAAAGTATTTATTTATTTAATTATTTAAAGTGCTTATTTTTACACCACATAATACCAAATATTATGTTTCATGTGATTGATTGATTGATTAAGTATCTCTGTTTTGATAGGAAGGTATACTAGTGAAATTACAGGGTATATAACGCCATAATCCACAAAAATGACAATTAACAAATACTACTACTATTATTCACTGTGATATCCATGGTACTGTTCATTTCTATATTTGACAGTTACCTGTCTTCATCAAGTGGACTGTCACTTGTTTATCCAAACTACATACAAAATACAAGATGGCAGAGACTAGTTGGCCAAAAGGAAAACAGCTGATTCAGATGAATGGTCTAAATCAAATGGCAGATTATTTTACTACTGGAAAAGCTGATGCATTTCCAGTAGTAAATAATAATGCAAGCATATAATTAAGGATTCTTATATTGATGCTACGCAATGTATTTGAAATTTTATTATACAATAAACATGATGTGTGATATAGCATTGTCAATGATGCTTCTTTGTAGGTAGTTTTCATGTGTTTGTGGCATTGCCCTTACACAGCTGCTTCAAAATGTTGCAGTAGGATTTTTTTATTTCATGGTATTTCACTATACAATATTATGTCATGATATCATAGATTACATGATTTTAAATGAAAAAAAACAGAAAAAAAAATCCAGAAAGAATTTTCACTGGTTTTTAGTTCAGAATAATGGTCTAAATTCACCATTTTTTAGTTTTTGCCAACCTGTCTCTTACACCCTGTATATAAAAAATATCTCACCAGCATAAGACTCATTTTCCTCTGTAGCAACATACAATGTTAACTCAAATGGTTCAAGATTCTTGTCTGCAGGATGGAACATAACCATTTTTTTAGAATAACCATTCTTCTCTCTAAAGTCTAAATGTTTTGTCACTTCCTCTATGTCTTTAGTTCTAATTTTGTATGCTATCCCCCAAACTTTACTATTGGTATCTTCACTTGGTATTAGTGTTACTACACGACCTGGCTGAAATGAATTAATGAATGCAATTAAACTCAGACATATGTCTAAAAAGATTTATTGATAGATATGTTATCATTATCATATGCATAGGCAATATTCTAAATTAAGATGTAATCTTTCCTGGTGTATTGATCATTATAGGCTAACCAATTTGACATCGGGTGGGAATAGAGTCGACCTCCCTGTGGTCCTCCCAGAAAACCATTGTGCTAAATTCAAGGTGTATTCATTAGAATGGGCTAATTGGCCTGCCTTTTCATTCTCACCTATCAGTCCTCACTGGCGCTATGCCAATGTATATCATTAGTGCAGGCGAGGTTACCATTCTATTACCATCCATAAAAATACTAACCTGACATGGTCCTCACCTATCATCCTTCACCTGTACTCCACCAGTGTAAACCAATAGCATAGACAGTCATTAGTTTTCTTATATCTATTAAAAAAAAATTATATACAGAAAATAGACAAATAAATACAAACAGATATATTTATGAATACTATGCGAGGATCAAAACTGTAACCAATAGGTGAGTATTTAACCGCTACATCACCAAGATTGTCTATCAAAATCCAAATATTACTTACTTGATCAGGAACACCTCTATGGTCTATACTGTGTTGATAAAATCTCCTAGAATAACCTTCAATATAACCTACAACTTTTAATTCATATGCAAAATCCACCTTCCATATTAGAGATCCGTAACCAAATACCCACATTTTTCTAAAAGTATAGTGGAAACTTTTAAACTTATTTGAAAAAATATTGTTGGTACAATTTTTGTAATGTTTTGTAATCTCAAACTAAAAAATCTCAATACAAAAGCTTAATCATATGATAATGACATTGACTGTCATAAATGACGTTAACATGTTACATTGACAACTTTGGCAGTGCTGCCATATATTTGTCTCATTTTATCACATATTTATTCATTATCATTATCAAATCAACGTTTTTTTTTATTAATTTGTGCATGAGGTCAACTAGTATATTAATTAGGGTGAGAATAGATCATACCTGTTCTCCAGCAATCCTTGCTCGATTTAATATTATAGATAGTGTCATATGTCTGTGTGAAATGGAAATTGGAATTTTAAATCATATTTTTCTATCCTGTTCTATCTACAATCATTCGCAATTGTATAATTCCTTAATATCCCTAAAAGTTCCCCTCCCCACTAATATTAATCTATTATTAAACTATTACAACTTACCAGTTTACAGAATCCTTTCTGATTTTATATTAAGTAACGATAAAAAGATATAAAACTGTATATATTTATACCTACATCTATTCTGTTTGCATTAAACTTTATATATAAATTTATATTTATTTACTTTAATTTATTATTCTACGATTAATATCTTACCTTTTTTTCTTTCAACTCTCCTGATCTTGTAATTCTATCCCAAAATTTTTTACCTTTATATTCCTGTTGTGTTCTGCATTGATTTCCCTGCTTTTGAATCAAATTTAAAAATGACTAATGGTTACCTTAAAAAGTCGAAGCCAAAAGAAGAAAAAAAAATTAATCGTTTACTGTCTACTACTGAGCATAGGCCTTCCCATTGAAAGATTTTACCAGCAGATACTACGCTTCGCAGGTGCGTTAGCAACCACAGTTAGGTTTTGGTGATGTTTTAAGAGTGATGCAGTTGCGCATCCCCCGACCTTTAAATCCCCTTTAGCTTCTCTTACGACACCCACGGAAAAGAATGGAGGCGCCTGGGTTGTGAATGTGAATGTGAAAGGGACTCCATTTTCCGCACTTAGCCTCTCATTTGGGCCATTGTGCGTATGAGTCGTGGCTAGTGCAGCCAACCTAGCTCCGTCCAGAAGCGCAGAAGCTTCCTGGGTTCTTCACAGGCCTCACGGAGCGACCTCACCGTTCCGAGGATTTCTAAACGTTGATGGGCCACAGCCTCACATTCCAGGATTACGTGAGCTGCCGTTTCTTCGGCGTTGAAACAGCCTCGACATAGAGGGCTGTCTGTGGCTCCTATTGTGTATAGATGTTTGTTTAATGGACAATGACCCGTTATTGTCCCTATCATTGTTTTGAGGTTTTTTCTGTCTAGATGTAATAAACGTTTTGATAGTCGTTGATTCAACATAGGTACGGCCAATTTTGATTGTCTGCAATCAGTAGCCTGTATCCATCTTTGGTTTTGTATGTCAGAGGATCTTTGACGAATCCACATTCGAAATTGTGAGAATGGAAGAGGAAGGAGTGGATACGGGCCTACCACCCTCGTTCCTGAGTCTTTCCTAGCTAGTTCGTCTGCGGCATCGTTACCATAAGATCCACTGTGCCCTCTTATCCATTGGAGGATAATACGGTTATTGGAAGATATCTTATCCAGTGAATGGTGGCATTCAATTATTAGTTTGTTGTTTGTCTTGTTGTTTCTTAATGTTTTTAGTACTGCTGCGCTGTCGGATAAGAATCTAATGCTATAACCATTTATTCCTAGCTTATGTACAACTGCAGCAGCCTCGGTTATTGCAACACATTCGCATTGGAAAATTGAGCTGTGGTCGCCAAGCGGTATGTGCATGTTTATATTAAGGTCTAAGGAAAAGACTCCAGCTCCTGAACCGTTCTCAGTTTTGGAGCCATCGGTATATATGCGTAATTCATGTACACCGGATTGGTCCTTTTCCTCTTCTTTTATTTGTACTTGGTATTTTTTGTTAAATATATAATGATTATGAGTCCTGTCACACGGAGCCGCAATCAAAGGTTGATATTCGATTGCCTGGTTCAGAATAGCAGTGTGGGGACTGTAGTGATTTTTACCCCATAGATCCAGATGCATTAGTCGGATAGCGGCTAAGGCCGCTTCCTGCTGTATGTGCAGGTCTAGGGGTGTTATGTTGAGGGCCAACTCTATTGCTGTTGTAGGAGCTGTTTTCATGCAGCCGCTGACAGAGGAGCAAACCAGTCTCTGAAAGCTTTTTAGTTTGGCGGCAGTGGTCGATAGTTTTGTCCTCGGCCACCAAACCAGTGCACCATAGACCAACATTGGCCTGATTACAGCCCTGTACAGCCATAGAGTTATTTTTGGCGAGGCGCCTGGGTTATAATACACTTTAAATTTTTTTGTTTGACGCTTTGAAATCAACCCACAACTTTTTTTAATGTGTGATAATGGAATGGAAACCTCGACTACGTGGACGGTTTACACTGGCGGAGTACCAATGAGGGATTATGAGGGTGAAAGGCAAGTCAGTTAGCCCGTAACATTAAAAACGATTATTTCTAAGGAGAACAGTGGGAAGATCGACCTGACAGGATATATTGAAAAATAATTTTCCCTATTACTAACAATATTTCACCTCCCCCTCCCCCCCCCCCCCTACGCCGAATCATCCATTTAGGTGTTAGAATTAACCACACAAAAAAAGGCTTGTTAATGAAAATTTGATAAAAAGGTAAACTAAGATGATTTGGGCATAAGGATTAAAATGTCGGCTAAAGAAATTATCAAAAAATTATAACTTATAAGATATAATTAAAAAGGAAGGGTACGAGTACCGGAGGCGATTAGCATCGAGTGGATACGGTCACCTATGAGAAGTCAAGAGCTACTAGAACCATGTAAGAACAAATGTCTTCTCTGTCTTAAGGGATTTACCATGTATATAGTAAGAGTATTAGGTATCTACCTAAATAAAAATGTTACATCTACCAATTAGGTACTACTTACTTTAATATGCTCACATTTATGGTGCCTATAATATTATAGATATACTTACGTACTCACGTAGTGATATGGAACTTACTGGGATATAATAATGACAGAATAGTAGTTTTCATTTCATGCCGTCATTTTATTGTCATTTGATAATTTCATTATTTACTTTCAAAGAAACGTACAATTTAATATTTATGGAGGATATAACATAAAAAAAATATAGTTCTGCAACATTAGCGACGTTTACAGAATTTTGCCAATTCCTATATTGTACAATAATCATGTTACACATATTAAGTAATTAGTAAATATGACAAAATTATTATCTAATGAATTTAACGATCACAAATAGTTATCCTGGTCGTTTCAAATATCTACAATAGCTGAAAAACTTTGTAAAGAAATAGTTGACCCAGCCTTGAAATCATCATCAAAAACGCCTGCAGAAAAATCAAGGCATATAACACAACAGACCACAAGCAATAGGCAGGACGGAAGGTCAACAAGATCTATTGTCATTGAGAAAAAGAAAGAAATCAATAAACTTATACCACGAAATAACACAAGTGCAATTGTAGGTAATAAATTCAAATCCAAGGAGACCATTTTAAAAAAGAACTTTGTTGATATTGCATGCAATACATTAGTTACAGGGCCTCTGCGATGTGATATAGACTGTGTAACGATGGTTCGAAAACGAGATAATCACTGCACTTGCAAATGTGCACATAAACGTGTTAATTCTAAAGCGAGCGTAAAACAAGTACAGACTTACGATATAAGAAACTACGGATTTACCGATAAAGCATGTACACAGTATGTTGAAACCCTAAGTTGTGGTACACAATTTTTAGAAAAGTTAACTGAAAACAGATCACGCTTCGGAAGTAAAACAAAAGCCGATCAACATTCCGTAAAAGAACCTACAGAGAATGGACCAAATCTCTATATCAATATAAACAGGGGCTCAAACATATGTCGTAAAATTGCTAAACGTTGGGCCATATCACGATACCCAGTTCGCGGTCCTGATTTTTAAATATAACCGTTAACGATTTAAGTACTATATCACATTTTTATTTATAGTCGTCAGTTATTTTAGGGGTCGCCTAACACAGTATTTACCTGTACCACAATATAAAAAATAGTACTGCCTATATGTTTTTTTTTTACAACACGGGGCAAAAGAGCATGCGGCTCACCTGATAGCAAGTGTCTACCACCGCCCATGATCACCCACAACACCAAAATCATTGCAGGTGTGTTGCCGGCCTTTTATAAAAGAAATATACTCTTTTCTTAAAGGTTATGATGTCGTAGCCGTTCGGAATTACTGTTGCTGGATGTTGATTCCAAAGAGTTTATATAGTCACGATCGGTACTCGAGAATTCTTTGCTATCAATTCTTAGATCCGTTATTTTATAAATTGCCGATTACTCAAGTTATATTGATAACTGGTTCTTCTGTATATTACATTCTTATTTCGAATTTCTTCATATAGCAAAGTTTTTGTGAGGGGTGATAGATAAGGGTGAATGCAGGTCAGATGGCATAGTTTATAATTGTCGAATTCGTCATGATGGTATGACGAATTCAACAATTATAAATCACGATGGTATCTTGGGAAACCGCGTAGAAGTTGACCTGAAAGGTAGGACAGTTAGTCACCGTTAGTTACTAAGAATCTGTTCCATTGCCACATGCCCGAGGGTACATACCTATGAGGGTATGTGTACCGCTCTACATAGGAGGCGGAGGATTAGGAAAGAGTCCATGAGCAATGTGTATAAAAATAGTTTCATAATAATTTAAACAATTATACATTTTTTTTTAGTATGTTTGGATAGTTATCTCTCTATCCGTATAAAGTATCTGCTCATTGGCGTAATCATCATCATTATATCAGCCTTTAACTGTCCACTGCTACACATGAGTCTTCCCTTAAAGAGTTTTACCAGTAGTTACCACGCTTGGCAAGCGGATAGGCAACCGCAGTCAGTCAGTTAAGAGTTGCTGCTGCCAATCCCTCATCCTCTCTTAGTCGACTTCTACGACACCCATAGGAAAGGAATCTATGCAGGAACCACATGGAATTTGCGTAATATTTAATATTCTCAAAAAGGGGCCTGGCTTTTTAAAAAAGGCACACATGTACTTTCAGAGATGTCATTGTGAAGCACGACCCACGCGCTCCTCTCTAAATACGCCTATATTTTCGATGTCAAGTAGCAGGTGTGCTTACATTAATGTTCAGGTTTGAAGGTGGGCTAGGTGGGGAGGGGGGGTGGGAAGGATTGTATTGTTAGTAATGATGTTTAAGTGCCACATTGCTAGCAAAATACCCTATCAAGTCAACCTCTTCGCGGTTTTCTCTGGAATCTATTGTGGGTAATAATTGTTGAATTCGTCATGATAGGCCAACTGACCTGTTTCATCCTCACCTATCAGCCCTTACTGGTGAAAACAGATAGCGATAAGATATTTACTAATTTCAATAACCTTTTATATTAACTGTTGTGTTAATATTAGAAAGGTATTTTTCATTCTAAACATTTTGACATGTTCATGGAACATGCCATATCATACATTACAAGTAGATAAGCATTAGATAAATAAGAGCGTCAAAATGTGGGCATATGTACATCAGTGAGTGTTGTAGCACGATTACATAGATAAGCTTATATAAACAGCGTAACATCATAACAAAAACCTGAAAATACTGGCTTCTTTTTTAACTTCGCTGATTAAAATTGTCCAGACCAAAGTGCTTACAGAAAATAACGTAAAAACTGCACGACTAAATATAACGATAATCAGTACTGCTGATTCGGTTGGTACAGTCCATAGAAGCATGACACTTTCTTAATATTATAATTCTATATCAAACAACTTTATTATTCCACTGCAGCATGTAGTCACAAAGAGTGTACTGTAAGGCTATTGGAGTCTATAGATGACGGTGATAATAACGAAATAAATAGGTCGTGATATTATTAATACTCTTATTAGTGAGTCGTTAATTTTGTTAATCAGTGCAAGTTGTATAAAAACTTACTTCAATGTGTGCAACTACCTCCTTAAAACTTAGCTGAAACAGCAAGTATTAAAATATAATGGGAGGAAAGAAAAAAACAATGAAAAATTTAAAATTATTATCATATTTTGAGTCATGTTTCATTGCGATAAATTTAAGTTTTATAAATGAATACAGTCCCTGAATGTCTGCTTGCTATAGCCTTTTTGTTACAATACATATAGAATAAAAAATATAAGATCCAAATTGTTAAAAAATTTATTTCTAATCCAGCTCACTAAACCTGCATATAAAATTAGCGGTTTTCATCTTGATTTGTACCTAAAAAAATAATACAATGTATGTAGTGAGACCAAAGAAAAATATGACAATAATTGAATAGTATATGACAACACAAACAGCCCAACACTATGGATTTGTGCAGATGAGAGACAATTCTTAGCATACTTTTTTGTTCGTTACAATATTATATAGAGAGTTGTTTAATGTAAACAAGTTACTGAAATCTCACCAACTAATACAATGGGGAATTTTGTCATCCATGAAAAAACTTCCCTCGTCTGCACATTCCCTTACCCAAAAATTAAGGCCCACCATAATACAATTACAAGTAGTAGGTTTGACTATATAAATACTATAATTCATATATCATCTAATACCTAGATAATGCACAATTAGAGCAAACCAATAATCCATGCTTGTAAGGATTTGAATGTCGATAATTCATAGTTGAGTATAATATTTACTCTTATGTTATATACAACATAAGTGTTTCTTTATTTGTTCGATTTAAAAAATTTATTTCCACCATGCTTTAATATCTACTGTATTTTAAAAACAAGATTAAATACTATTTTTAACAAACTTCAAAAAGAAAGAGGTTTTCAATTTTGTTGTACTTTTTTATTTGTTTATTTGTGTTTGTAACAAACTCATAATTATGTCATTTATAAACCAATTTGAAAAATCCATGAATTGATGGATAAAAATTTTATCAAAGTCAATTCATTTATGAAATCGAAGTAACTGGTTTAGCCACAAATAGTCAGTTTTTTTTTTTTTTTGTGGAATACCACTTTAAATTAAGATTAATAAAAAAAAATTAAGTCCATTTAATAAAAAACAATTTCAAGATTAATAATAATAATATAAAACCTAATATATCCTGCATGCATATATCCTGGTTGCAAAAGGAACTGAGAAAAAACCTTCAAATATTCAATTACCAGCATTTTTATGACAAAAATATATAAAAGAATTGAGAATATCCTCCTTTGCGAAGTCACTTAAAAAAAGCCTTCTTCCTTGATATAAAATTCAAGCTTCACCAATACTTATCTATTTTACTATAACAAATCTATTTGAATTAAAATTGTTAATGTTTTCTATCTCTACAGTTAGATTGCTTATAAATATGAGAATTGAATTTTTCAATATTTATTTCATTTATAATCACTTGCAAATGTTGCATAATATGACCTTTAAAAAGCCTCATTTTATAACCTATTTATTTATATATTACAAAAAAGTTATATTTTAATAGCTAATATTTATCTAAGTTTTTATTAAATAGTGTTATGGTGTTTATTATAATAGAGTCAATGCATACCCACAAAATTTGAAAAATTCAATCAGTCTTGACCTACTATGTACTAGTGAAAAATTGCTGTTTATACATAAAATGAGATGTAATTTGAAATATTTTGTACAATAAAATTTTACAACACAGAATATTTAACCTACCATATTAATATGGTACTAACTTTTCACTAAAAAGCAAAAGAATTATTTAAAGGATTATTGTTTACTCCATAGATTTGTTCCTCAAGTTTTAACAACCATTTTACTTATAAACATAGAAGAATATATTTCAATACATGTTCACTAACTCTAATAACTACACATTTTACCAACATCCATAAATTTGGTATTGATATTTTTTTTACATAGTAAAAAATTTGAAAAAGTTGTAAAATATGTTATATGAAGTTGTGAACATGTTCAAATGAAATTTAGTCAGTATCTTTAACTACTTATACTAGTATGTTAGAATAATAAAGAAAATTATATCAATATTAAAAAATAATGCTTATAAGTAAAAGGTTAAAAGTCTGGTGTGAAACAGGATAGACCCCTTTGCACTACTACTTGGACATTGTCTGCAGTGGGCCTCCATAAAGTTGAATCTCACATGTTTGGTTGAGCGGGACTAGCAGGAGGTGGCTGAGCTTCTAAATTCTTTATCAGTTGTGCCAACCAGTGCTTTGTTGAATTGTCCTCTTGGAGGCATGCTGTAAATGTTGCATCTCGTAGCTGGTCTGGAAGACATTGTCTGAGTGCCTCACGAGCTCTGGGATTATCTGACAAGCGAAGGTAACAACGAACAACATGTTTAAGGAGACGAGCTGATGGATCCTTCGCTAGAGACAACACCATTTTTCCCAATATCATAGCCACATGCGAGAATCTATCGTAGGTTTGACAGATGTAACACAACCCACTGTCATCTAATAGAATCTTCTGCAGTATGAATGTGGCAACAGTCTTGGATAATTCGGAACCATTCTCCATAATGCGCAGGCACAGTGGTATGATTTCAGTTGTCAGTAAAAACGTTATTACTTCTTGCTCATCTGTTTTTACTAAAGCTCCAATTACACCTAAACTGGTTAGTCGTAAATATTCAAATGGACGAGTTTTAGATACAGTATGAAGAAAAGGATATAAAAACAAAGGAACATGTGCTTGAAGAAATGCAGATCTCGTCTCAGGATGAGAAGCAACGCATTGCATTAATGCTAAAGCATTGCAAACACGATTGCTTTGATGGGCTGTCAACGTCGGAGGTATCATAGCCACGTAAATATTAGTAATCTCCTGTAGTAAGGCGGCAATCGTACCGAAACTGTGCCATAACATAGGCGCTAAATCCGGCACAACCTCACGCTTCTTGCTCAGTTCGAGTAGAGCGTTTTCCCTTGTTTCTGGATTGCATAGCTCTAAGATCCATGTATAAATCTTTTCTCTGTCCACGACGGCTTGCATGTTCGCCGGGCTCTGTTGCGCACTCATAGTATTCATCGAATCTATTTTATTATCAAAATATAAATCGGCAGTTGGCTTTTGTTAATAAACACGTAGATTACGCGAGAGGTCATAAATATAGTATGTCAGATTATCACAATTCATTTTAATTACAGCACAAAGAAATGAAATGTACAACTTTTTATGATAAATTGATCGTTATTATGGTAGTAATTTATAATTAAAATAAAATTTATAAAGCATGGATTGACAAAAGTATTTTGATGGAAAGTAAATTGAAATAGAAAAGATAACGCCTACAGTACAATATTAACGTTGCTTTCTTCACTGACAGTAGAATAGGTAATCATTTTTCATAACAAATTGACATTTGACGTTGACAACAAGACAACAGAATAGAATCCTAGGAACACTAAAATCTTTGGCTAATTCTAAGTCTAAGAACAAGAAATTACATAGAAGGAATGATAAAATAAAAACTGTAAATCATATGGTTGCCTACTTTCTTTTTATGCGAATATAATTAATACAAAGAGGACGAAAAATACACCATCAGTGACAGGCAATTATTTGACATGTCAATTATTTGTCAATAACAAATTCTATATTACTAGATTATATATTGGATACGGTTTATATAGAAAATATGCAAACAGGTTGTATCTGAATTTAGTAGGGTTATACGGCCATATAACATTTTCTTTACACTAGCCTACTAGGAAATGACAAAAATAGCAACTGATGGCAAGTTATCTCAAAAGTAGGAGTCTTGTTGGGATTGGTCGTGAAGAATATCGCAACGCTCTTATTGGGGTTTACCTCGATGCGACACTTCCTAAACTAGTGGCCCAGCTGGTCTGCCGCCACCTGCAGTCTACGTCACTAAGTCATTGGCCGACCAGCAGTCCACATAGAGGGCTGTATCATCAGCAAATAATGCTAATTGCACTCGGGAGTATCGTGTCACATTATGGGCGAGAGAACGGCACCCTGGGAGACGCCGGCTCTGATCGGGTGCGTGCTGGAGCGCACGCCGTTGACGCGATAGCGATAGGTCCTATTCGATAAGAAGGCCCGTATGATGTGCACAAGCCTATCTGGCACTTCCATCTTGTGTAGCTTGTATATCGAACCGCTATGCCAGACTTTGTCCAAAGCCTTCACCACGTCGAAGAATAGGGCACCTGTGGCCCCGCGGGGCTTGTAGTGCCAGCCTTTGAGGACGTGCTCTACTATACGGTGCACTCGTTGAACAGCTGAGTGCCTGGATCTAAAGCCGAACTGCTCATCGATCGGAAATCTATCTCTTAAGCCTTAGGGTTCTATCCGAAATCTTTTTAGTGCCCGCAGTTACATTTCATTCACAGAAGAGTAATCACATTTTCGTCTCGTTTTTGTTATTACATTACTAGGATGTTAGTACGTAGAATGTTATACTAAGTCTATGGTGTAAATGCATAACTAAACACTTAGGTTAATACTAAAATATTTAGTTCTATATATTCCATTATAAATGTATTTCTGCATTTCTTTCTTTAAAACATTATTATTTCAGGCGTTAACTGTCCATTGCTAGACATAAGCCTTCCTCTTAAGGGAAATTTTGACAGTGGTTGCCACGATTGGCAGGCGGGTTGGCAACCGCAGTTATAGATATTTTAAGAGGGAAGCTACTGTTCATCTCTCGCCCTCTCTTAGTCTCTTCTTACGACGCCCACAGGAAAGGAAGAGAAAGCTCGTTTTATGCTGGGGTACACACGGCACATTTCTTTTTTATTTGGGTATTATTGTTTATGTTTTTGCTATGACTGTTATTAGTATACGCAAATAAGTATTTTTCTTTATTTTTTTCTAAATATATAGTCGGTACCATGTAAAACTTTGTGAAAAAACTAATGGTAAAATCCTCCAGGGGAGAGGCCTATGTTCAGTAGTAGATAGTTAAAGACTGATAAGATTATGAAATTTTTGAGTAAAAGTACCTACTCTTTCACACGTCCTAGTTACTCCAATCTTTGGGTCCACATAAAAAGAATTTTTAGAAGAAAATCAGGCAATTTAATTAATAATAAATCAAACTTCGATCATTATGATCCCAGACTATATACCAAACTATCAAATGTAGATGTGTAGATAGATTAATAAGAAAAAAATGGAAAGAGTCACAAATTGTTCCTATTCTTCCGGTTTTACGGTCTCGATGATCGAAACTCTGTCACGGAGTAGTTTATCGTTTGTTCTGTGGTGTCTTTGGTTGTGTTAGTGTGTTCCCAAGTGTACTTGTGTTAGTATGACATATAGGTATAGTTACCTACCTACTTATGATTTATACTTCTGAATTACTAATAGTTTAGAAAATTTTCATTGTTTTCCATTTTTCCTTCCAAAATAAGTAATTGATACGCTTTCAGCTTTTATTGTGACCCATTGTAATAATTATGTGCAGACTTTGTTGGTTTTACGGTTTTTAATAGAAAATATTTGAGACCATACTGTGGTGAGTTGATTATAGTTGGAAATGTAGTTATTACTCTTATACAGTTATGTTAGTTTTGTAATATATGCATTAAATAATAATGCTTATATTTTAAAAGTTAATTTTAAAAATGATTCATCCTTCATTTACGCCACGATCAATTAAGTAAACAACCGGGTCGGGAGTAGTTAAATTGGTATGATCTAGCTATTTACAACTTGTATATATATTTAGTGACCTATATTACACCTATAACATACGTATATCTACGTTAATATTTTTTTGCATTTAGGTATACTATGGGGTAGGTCCTGTATATGATCTGGCATCCAAATGGTTACCTTTCAGCATCAGCAATAATAACTGCACCCTTTTTTATAAATTTTTTACACACATCTCATCTATTCCAATAATTCACATTGATATTCAATACTCTTTTTAAAACATATATTATTTTAATGTTTACATATAATATATGACAGCATAAGTTTTATAAACTTACTTTGTTTATTGTTTCTAACAATTGTTTTGACTTTATCCAGAAGTCTACTTGGGGGGGGGGGGGGAGACATTTACTGCTTTGCATCACAGCATCTTGCCTCACATTGTGGGCTGTAACTTGCAGAATCTGCAAAAATTTTTGTGTTATTGTGGGTGCGGAGGTGAAGATAGCGGTGATAAGAGACAATGGTCCTGGCAAAGATTAGTAGCTGTATCCAGTGTAGTTATAGTCAATTGTGAAGGACCCTTGTCTTTGATGCTGCTGTTGTTTGAACTGTCCAAAACAGTCTGTAACACAAAGCACACAGTGAAATCATAATTTCTGTTGTGCTTGAATGCATACAGTATTCAGTACTTTTGAGATACAACCATATTGAGATTATTAGTTATTTCCTAAATTATCTTGATTTTGGTGTAACTTACAAGTTTCCTTATAAGGTTCATTATCTCCATACCATATCACCATAGTCTATGGTTTAATTGTTGTGATGTGCCTTAGTTGTTTGTTACCTGATTCTGAGTCAATTATAAACCAATTTTGATTTTTTTTTTATCTAAAATGATATACTTACTGTATGTATTGGTCCCATAGAAATTTTATCAAAATCGGTTCAGTAATTTTAATTTTTAAATAAAATTAAGATTATATAATTTCAAGCTAAATATAATAGAAATTGCTTATTTATGTTCACAATAATTTTTGCTAGTATGACCATATGGTCTGTAGTTTTAGAGTTTATTGCTGATTCTTCTCAGCAGATAACATTCCGAACCTAGTAATAGAAGAATGAAGATTTAAAAATACCTGTAAACAAATCTATTTAAATAAAGATTATTTTAATTTGATGTCCACAATATGAATGTAAATTTTATATTTTTTAGATAATGGAGGTGTCACATTCACTGACCCTCAATGAGGCTGCTCTTCAGCAGCTGCCTGATGACAAGAAGCCACATTTCATATTTGAATGGCTTAGATTTCTTGACAAGGTCCTGGTTGCTGCACATAAGGTAAATTATATTTAATTGAATGAATTAAAAATGATATAGGAAAACAATTACTATAAAAAAAAAGACTGTTTACTGCATCTGTTTGGTGTAAAAATATGTTGTCATTCATTTTTATCCTGAAGATGTCCTAAGAGGTGATTATGGCAACATGATCCATTAGGTGTGTGGAATGGGCTTCCCTCTAAAGACTTCCTCTTGCACTACAAAAATGAGCTCATAAATATTGAAATGACTGGCAACTTCTGTCATATTGTATAGATGATTGTAGATGTTCCCATTATGTGAATTGTTTGCTCTTTTTCTGCCCTAACAATAAGAAAAAAAAAAAAAACTAAAATATTGTAATAATATAAATACATCTTATATTCAATAATGATATTGTATTGTATATGCCTATGTTCTTAGCATAGAATAGGCTCCCCCTTCTTTTTTTATGAGTGTCATAAGAGGTGATTAAAGGAATTTAATGATAGAGAGATGGGCAGCAGTGTCCTTCTTAAAATTTCACCATATCCTCCAACTGCAGTTGCCAATCCGCCTGCCAAACATGACAATTACTTGCAAAATCCCCTAAGGGGGAGGCTTATTTATAGCAGTGGACATTTAAAGGCTGGTATGATAAATGATATTGTTTTAATACAATATCATTACTGGATATAAAATGTATATAAAATAGTATTAAGATTATTATGAAATGTTACACAGTCGGACATAAAGAGCTGCCAACAGAAGTTGGTGGCTCAACTGGTGAATCTTCTTCGAGAGTCTCTGGGTGCACCCGCTCGGCGGCTGCTGGCACGATGTCTAGCAACACTATTCTCAGTCGGCGATACTTTCCTCTTGTTTGACACTGTCAACAAGTGTAATGACATCATCAAAGTTAAGGATGATTCACCATCTTACCTACCAACGCGACTGTGAGTGGTTTATATTGTTGTTCTTAGAATATTACACGAAAATAAATTAATTTTATAAGTGAACCAATAACTTGATGACTTGTTTTGTAGCAAGAATGAATTATTTCTATGCCTCTGGCTACCCCATTAGGGATTACAGTCTTTTATTGTTATTACTCTTTTAACTATTATTTCTTTAATGTGAATATTTCTATATAATGCATTTTGTTCTGCATAACATTAATTCAATCATGACAAAACATGTTATGTCCATGGTACTGCTCATGTTTATAGGCGACGGTTACCACTTTCCATCAGGTGGGCCGTCAGCTTGTTTGCCATTCTAAGTTGTATAAAAAAAAAACACAATGAATGATGAGATGTTCCATATACATTATTCATTGACAAGTTTTAACAACTTTAATTGTAGGTTTTGCTACAATTAACCTTGTTTTTTTTTTATTTGTTTTAAGAACTAAACTACTGAAGTTAATTTAGATAAAATATTTATGGGAGTAATCTGTAAACATCTGTAAGTATCTAGTAATCTGTAAATATCCTTTCAAATAAAAAAAAATATATATCCAAATTGATTTACAACTGAGTTATGAGGTAACAAATATAAAAAAATGCAGCTTAATTAAGAATCTCTTTTTAAAGTCAGTTGAAAATAGAGACAAACTGGGATTTTTTTTTATACTAAGAATGGCAAACAAGCTGACGGTCCACCTGATGGAAAGTGGTAACCGTCGCCTATAGACATGAGCAGTTCCATGGACATAACAGAGTATACTGTTTCGCCCATGATACCCCCCATGCGTTGCCATTCCTGAGGACTCAGGTGTTATTCCTCTGTACCCTGTAAATTCACGCTATATCCTACCCTTCAAACCGAAACACAGCCATGCAAACACAACTGCATCACGGTTGAAACACGAATGGGACAGAGGTACCCAAGCAATCGACTTTTGTACAAAGTCTCCCTCTGGTGAGGGAATCCTCATTTAAGCCAAATAAATAAAGAAAGACATGCTTTTTGTACTAATTTTTATTCTATTTAATTGTTTATGAGTAGTAGTATAGTAATAGAGCCAATATATATGTTTTCAGAGCTGCGATTTGTTGTCTCGGTAGTATGTACGAGAAACTCGGTAGAATGATGGGTAGATCGTATGAGGAGACAGTGACCACGCTGGTTAGATCTCTAAAGAGTGCCGAGTCACAAACTAGATTGGAGATCATGAACACGCTTGAAAAGGTATGACAGTTTGTTGTTCTTTATGTCAGAAAAAACGAAGTTGTAAATAGTTTTTTTTTTATATATATGTAATAATTGATTTGTCATTAGAATTTTTTTTATAAGTGTACCATATAGACACTTTTTAAAAAAATATTAAAAAAATTTTATGCCGTAGAAATTTATATAATACGCATAGAATAGGCCACCCCTTCCTTTCCCGTGGATGTCGTAAGACTAAGGGATGGTAACGGACGAGCAGCAGTGTCTCTCTTAAAATATCTCTAAAAGCCTAACTGCGGTTGCCAATCCGCCTGCCAAGCGTGGCAACTACTGGCAAAACTCCTCTTATGGGGAAGGTTTTAGTCCAGCAGTGTAGAGCTGAAATAAATAAAAAAAAAAATTAAAATGGTATGTGGATTATAATATATATAATGATAAGTGTGAAAATAGGTTCTTTTTTTTTTTAATTTCGAGTTAAGCAATAATATGGGAAATTTATTTTTATATCATTCTAGATTGTGAGGTTGTGTACTAATTTCTAGGATCTTTTTAATAACTTGACCTTCTAGTTACGTGCTGAATTCATTATGACTCGTGTAACATGCTTCGGTGAGCATATATTACATTGGTGTTAATTTACTTTGCCAACTTGTTTGACTGAGAATTATAAAACTGTACGAGTATGTATGTATTTATATGTGGCAAAAGTGAAATTACTGGCATTCTTTTAAGGATGTATTTTACTAGGAACTAAACTAAATTATTTTTTTGTGTGCCGTAAATCTGTGTAATATCTGTATCGTATTGAGTTTTTTTTTTTATACGATATAGAATGGCAAACAAGCTGACGGCCCACCTGATGGAAAGTGGTAACCGTCGCTTATAGACATGAGCAGTACCATGGACATAACAGAGTATACTGTTTCGCCCATGATACCCCCCATGCGTTGCCATTCCTGAGGATTCAGGTGTTATTCCTCTGTACCCTGTAAATTCACGCTATATCCTACCCTTCAAACTGAAACACAGCCATGCAAACACCATTGCTTCACGGTAGAAACACGAATAGGACAGGTACCCAAACAATCGACTTTTGTACAAAGTGACGTATGTATCGTTTGCTCGCAATACTGCAAAAGTGTAATATTCAGGGATGGTTAATGTACAGCAATATCTATATATTTCAGTTACGATATCTATATATACTGGTCCAACAGCGAATATCTTAAATGTCTGTTATCAAATATTTAATGTTGAAATGAAGAATCCAATATAAAAATTAATATAGATATCCAACCAGTAGGTGCAATGGAATGGGTAATTGGGTATACGCTGGCGAGGTACCAGTGAGGGATGATAGGTGAGAATGAAAAGGCAGGTTAGTTAGCTCATCGTGATGAATACACCTGGAATTCAGTACGATAGTTTTCAGGGGGGGCCGTGTAGAGGTTGACCTGACAGGATATATTGCTAGCAATGGGACTGGTAGCAATATTAGCCATGTATAGTAATATAATGTAGCACTTGTAAGTATTGGGTTGACTGGAAGAGATCTCTGTCAGAGAGAAGTCTACCCTTGCTCACAATATTTATGAATGCATTAACAATGTAATTAACAAGTGCAATAAAGAATATATGTTGCAGTCAAATTTCTTAATCAGTCAAAATTACTATTAACTAGCAAAATCAGTCAAAAGTACTATTGACCGTATGCTTTAGTCAATATTTTTGATTAAGATAACAGTTAAAACAACTTTTGCCCAATGGAGCTGGTTAAAAATACTTTTGTCTAAGTGATTCCGTCAAAAGTAGTTTCGACTGGTTGTATCAGTCAAAATTCTTAAAAAGTTCTATGTTCGTATGTTGTCTTTGTATTGATTATAATGCTAAAATGTTCGTAATAAACGATTTCACATTTAATAATTATCTTTTTCGAGTTAATAATACTTTTGACTGATGCTTTACTACAGTTTTACCAGAGGGAGACTTTGTACAAAAGTCGATTGCTTGGGTACCTCTGTCATATTCTTGTTTCAACCGTAAAGCAGTTGTGTTTGCATGGCTGTGTTTCGGTTTGAAGGGTGGGATATGGCGTGAATTTACTGGGTACAAAGGAATAACACCTGAGTCTTCAGGAATGGCAACGCATGGGGGGTATCATGGGCGAAACAGTATACTCTGTTACGTCCATGGTACTGCTCATGTCTATAGGCGACGGTTTCCACTTTCCATCAAATGGACCGTCTGCTTGTTTGCCATTACTAAATTGTATAAAAAAAAAAGTTAAAACTACTATCATTTCTTAGTCTGTCAAAGGTATTTTTAACCAATAATTTCCAGTCAAAACCGCTTTACCAACCTGTTCATTCAAAAGTGGTTTTGACTGGTAAAGAGTTTAGAGTGAATGGTGAGTGGTGTGTGATGCGTGTGATGCGTGTGACGCGTGTGATGCGTGTGACGCGCAGATCTGCGTGGGCATGGGGTCGGCGGCGGGCGGCGCGCTGCGCGAGGTGTGGCGCGCGGCGCGCGGCGCGCTGGCGGCGGAGCGCGCGGGCGGCGCGCGGGCGGCGGCGGCGCGCGCGCTGCGCCGCCTGCTGCCGCTGCTGCGCCTGCAGACCGCCGACGTGGACGCGCTCGCCGCCGCCTGCCTGCGCGCCGCGCACCCCAGCCACTACACGCTGCGGTACGTGAACATACCACCTCACACACAAACTAGTGCGACAAAACATGCTTGGAAATCAATCAACAATCAATATTGTAATTGTGGCCATTTCTATCGAGCACGTGTTATGAGCGATTGCAAAATGAGAATCGATGCTATTGTATATCCTATATATATGGTTGAAGTCACCCGCGACGGTGGTTGGTAAATATGTATGAAATAATATGAAATTACTCTAACAACCTTCTTAAACCACTATCGAAGGAAGGGAGTAATATATATTTCTCAAACATGCTTGGAAATGTGAGCATTATTTTGACAATCTTCTTCGAGATAAATCAAAATTGCCGTACTGGCTAAGATACATACGGGCAGCGGCCGAAAAAGTTGTATGAAAATCCATATCTGTCGTGTTTTGCGGCCAGATAAATTACTATGTAAACTCATATCTGTCCTGTAATTAAAAATTTATTTTACACAATTTTACTTTTTAAATTGAACATGAATTTAAAAAGTAAAATTGTGTTTTTGATTTTTGCGCATTGTTTGAGAAAAGTACTATACAAGCCTTGGCCACAACTAGGCATTGATGGACTCACGTATGTGTGCCTCGGCTACACCTCGGCCCACATTTGTACGTTCGTCCATCAATGCCTCAGTTGCTGGCCGCTGCAGTAATGTACTTTATTATACATAAAATTGAGATGAATATAAAGTACTTACTATATATACTACATACTATTGCTCACACCATTCCTCTGAAAACTTTAAAGTTTTAAACGACGACTCATTTTACTTGGAAAAAGTTAATTTCAAATTAGTAATCCATATCTAGTATATTTTTTTTATGCAACTTAAAAAAATGGCATGCAAGCGTTAGCTTGTGTGGGCTGTTAAGCCCACCTGATGGGTAATGGTAACCGTCACCTATAAACATGAGCAATATTATGGATATAATAGAGTATACTGTTTCATCCATAATACCTCCCATGCATTACCATTTTTGAGGACTCAGGTGTTATTTTTTTTTATACCAAAGGTGACAATCGAGCACACAGCCCACCTGATGATAAGTGGTTATCATAGCCTATAAATACTTTCAATACCAGGAGTATTACGCACGCGTTGCTGACCCTGAAGAAATCTCTTTATCCCCCTTTTGAAGAATGCCCATGCTGTAGTCTCTTAGGAAAACCTTGGCAAGAATCTCATTCCATAACCTGATTATTTCTCTGTACCCTGTAAATTTACTGCCATATCCCATCCTTGAAACCGAAACAACCATGGAAACACAACTGCTTCACAGTAGAAATACGAATGGAACAAAGGTACCCAAGCAAACGACTGTTGTACAAAGTCTCCCTCTGGTATATTGATCGAATGTTCATTATTTACAGTTGTGCCATAGCTGAACTTCTTGGAGCTCTAATAGCGACTACTCAGGCTGGTGAAATGACAAATCTTAATCCTAAATTAAAAGTTGGCATCCAATCAGGTAATTTAAAAATATAATAAAATTTTAAGAAATTCATAAATAGAATTTTTAGACAAGCTATAATTTTCACATTCTTTTTTTTAAATTTTTTCTTTTAGTACAACAAAATAAGAAAGATCCGCCAAAAAACATTGTATCTTTGGACGAAGCTTTGAACTTGCTAATGGGTGCATTTCTGAGAGGTGGCACATCTTTCCTAAAGGGAGAAATAATAAAATCCGGCTCTGGAGTCAATAGGGAAGTCCGTGTTTGTGTCACGCAAGTAAGTTTTACTTTATTTTTCCTATTCCTTTATTTTACTTTTCAATTGATTTTAGAAAAAAAATGTCAACTTTCAATTCCTTTCTATATGTATGCTATGTTTTTGCAAATATTGGGATCACATGGCGAATTGGTGTTAATCCTAGGCATTGGAAATGTAATCACAGGTACGTATTATTGTTTCAGGCTTATGTAGTGTTCGTGCAAAACATGGGCGGTGTATGGTTAGAGCGTAATATGACCACGTTCCTGACACACGTGCTGGACCTAGTGGCCAACCCGAAGGCGGCCAGTTCGCACGTCGACGCTGTGTACTCCAGGTAATAATAAAATTTTTTAATAACATTTAATACTTTTGTATCATATCGTAATCATATCACCAGCTAATTGTCCACTGCTAAACATGTGCCTACCCCTATTAGGAAGTTTTACTAGTAGTTGCCGTGCTTGGCAAGCGGATTGGTAACTGCCGTTAGGTTTCGGTGATGTTTAAAGAGCTATGCTGCTGCCCATCTCTCGACCATTAAGTTCCCTTAGTCGTCTCTTACGATTCACATGGGAAAGGAAGAGTTGGCTCATTCTATGCTTTTACAAGTCTCATACAATTGCCTGATACTTAAATTACAATATTCAAGTGTTATGAGAAATAAGGGAAATAACATCCGGGAATCACATACTAGATGTTTCGGGAGAATTACCCAGACCCAAGCTAATTCAAGTTCGTTTCCTGAATTCGTTCGAACGGGAATCGAACCCTGGGACCCCATTTGTGCAAAGTAATTAATGCTCATGATTGTGCCACAGTGCTCGTCAGTGACGACTTAAATTTTAATACTATATTTTGAATTAACTTTACTCTCCTATAAGATAATAAACATATAGAGTAGGAGAATTCGTGTATGTACATTTTAAAATCGAAATAATTCGAAACCTTTAATTCTAACCTAGAAAATGCATAAACTACATACTACGCAATACACTGGGCAAGATGCTGGGCGAGAAAGCGCAAGCGTCCGCCTGCCGTGAGATCATACAGATTGTTATCAAGCAAATGAACAGTATAGACTTCAATCCAGAGAATGCCAAAGATTGTAATCAGGTGAGCGTATTATATAGGTTAAGTAAAGTTTATTTTGTTGAATGACTAACAAAATTTTCACAGGATCTTCATCGCGATCTCAACAATCCCTTGATCAAGCAGTTCACGAAAGAAGCATTTCGATGTTACTTCGCTGCTGTTGAGTTCCACCCGAATCCGCTTATTATAAAAGCGGATAATTATACCCCCAAGGGGGAAGTCATTTCTGACGTCATTGCCCGTGTTATTTATTTATTTAACTCTTTATTGCACCATAAATAAAAATCCCCTTGGACCCCGAAGATCCAATAACTTTGGCTAATAAAATTGTCATGCTTGAGTATCAATTTTAGACGTCATTTACATAGCTTTTTCAGCATCATGTTGATGTATACTGTAGCATTGTACATTTGCAGGAGACGTTATTTAGCCAGCACCTGCTGGTGTGTGCGTTGACGGAGGCGGGCGAGCTGGCGCTGCAGCTGGGCACTGCGCTGCACCACCTCGTAGCAGACACTTCACTCAATATGCTGCAAGCCATATGTGCTGTCAGTATGATTTTTTATTATTAATTAAATGCATATTTTAGTTCGCTATTTTTATTTTGGTCAAAAATATTGCTACGTACGCTACACTGTAGATCATACTGCGTACAGTATGACCTACATCTTAGATTTTATAGACGAGTACAACATACAACCATGAAAAAGGAAGCCACAGATCACATTGCTCTGTTTACAACTTGGAATATAGACAAACTGTAGTCGTCTGTAGACATGAACGACACTGTGGATCGCTAGATGTATCGCTCACGCGTTGTTATTATTCAATGTAATTTTACTGCGATTTTATTTGCGATCTTTCAAACCGAAATACAATCATACATGAATAGCTGCTTGGTGGTAGAACAAGTGTGAGGCAGGTGCGTCACGTAGTGATTGTAGTAGTAACGCGGGATGTGTCCGTGTGTCGGTGTGCGCGCAGGTGCTGGAGCACCCGTGCGCGGCGGCGCGGCTGGCGGCGGCGCGCTGCGTGCGCTGCGTGTGCGAGGCGCTGCCCGCGCGCGCCGCGCCGCTGCTCGACTCCTGCCTCGACGCGCTCGACGCGCCGCGCGCCTCGCCGCACCGCGTCGCGGGTACGCACGCGCCGCACGCGCCGCACGCGCCACACGCGCCACGCGCCACACGCGCCACACCCACTACACGCACGCAACACACGCGCGCACCACACGCACGCACACACGCCACACGGTACACACCACACGGCACACGGCACACGCCACACGCCACACGGCACACGCCACACGCCACATACCACATACCACATGCACAAACGCACACGCCACATGCACACACGCACACACGCACACGCACGCACACGCCACATGCACACACCACACACTATACGCCACACTGCACCCATCAATGTCCTCTTAACAATTTTTTTATACACTTAGAATGGCAAACAAGCTACCGATCCACTTGATGGAAAGTGGTAACCGTAGCCTATAGACATAAGCAGTACCATGGACGTAACAGAGTATACTGTTTCGCCCACGATACGCCATGCGTTATCATTCCTGAGGACTCGGGTGTTATTCCTTTGTACTTTGTAAATTCACTGCCATATCCCACCCTTCAAACCGAAACACAGCCATGAAAACACAACTGCTTCACGGTACAAACACGAATGGGACAGAGGTACACAAGCAAATGACTTTTGCACAAAGTCTCTCTAGTCATATTATTGTGTGTTAGATAGAAAAAACAAAAGTCAACTATCTCTTTACTTATGATTCTTCATAGTTTTTCATATACCGACTATTTGATTTATATATTGACAGGATATTCGGCTGCGCTGGCTGGCATCTTGGGTGCGGTGCGGCAGTCTCCGCTCGGCGTGCCGCACGGCCGCGGCAAGGTGGTGTTCAACGCGGCCGAGCAGCTGCTACGCTCCGCTGGCCAGAGCAGTCGACTGACCGCCGCGCGCACTAACGCTGGCTGGTTGCTCGTCGGTGCTATCTGCACGCTTGGTACACATTTCTATGTTTAAACAAAAAAGTTACATCTTTAGTTATTATTATTGTTACTGTAAACCTATGAAAATGTTATAAAATGTTAAATGTTATACTAGACAAAGAAAAAATACCTAAAATCCAGATAAATATCTGGCTCGAAGGACCAATTTACATTGTGAATCATAAATTTCAGGTGTTCCGGTAGTTCGAGGTTTATTGCCGCGAATGTTATTACTCTGGAGAAATAGTTTCCCAAGATCGGCCAAGGAATTGGAATCGGAAAAAGCTAGGGGAGACGCGTTCACTTGGCAGGTGATTATTTTGTTAATATCAACTTTAATTGCATTTAACAAAAAAAATGTAAGTGCTTTTTTTTCAATAATTTTTATTCATTTCTTAACAGGTGACGTTAGAAGGACGTGCCGGTGCTTTGTCAGCGTTGCATAGTTTGTTAATACATTGTCCATCGCTTGTTAACAATGATGATACTGCTAAACGGCTTACACAACCCATCGATGGAGCTATTGCTGTGCTCACCAAGTGAGTATTTATAAAATTATTTTAATATAATTAAGAGAATAAATTATCGATGATTATAACAGGGAGAGATGGACTTAATTTTCTTTTAAGTTTACGGCTTTCAAGTCATAATTCTCGCCTTGAATATCGTACAATATACTGCCATATTTATGGCATTCCTTAATGTGAATGATTTCCAATAATTTAAATTACTTATATTTACATTATATAACTTCATTTTATTTTGTAAACAAACGTACGTATTAGTGTTTCTTTAAAAATAGATACCGCATAATCTACATATTCAGTTGAAACCCGTAATACATTGCTATTAATAAATGTTACTGTTATTATTATTGTTGAAAGACAGGTTTTTTAAGCAGAAAAACCTGTGACCTTTCCATGATCTTTTGTGCTCGCCATTTTTTAAAGTTCACTGCTAATTACTATCAATGATAGGGATATTAAGATTTTTGATGCTTTTTATATCCTCAGGATATAAAGTGTTTTTTCTATAGGAGGAAATATCGTTTATGTATGAGTGGGTTACAGCCACATATTAAGTGCCGCGATGTTTCGTCCTCATTGTGACGAAATCTTCAAACACTTAGTTGGGCCATTTGCTTGTTTAGTTTGCAGTGTTCAGTGAGGGCCCTTGTTAATACACACATATATAATACTAAATGTTACTGTTACTGTAGTGTTAAAAATATAAAACTATAAAAACAAAACAAAAAAAAAAAAAAAAACTAATAAAACTATACTAACATATAAAACCTGTGTATATACCAGCTTGGGCTCAGTAGTCCGCAATTACGGCGGCGCACTGAAAGCACCATCCGCGCTGCTGCGGCTGCGACTGTACCAGGCTTGTGGGGCACTGTACCAGGCGTGCGCTGCGCCCGCGCCGTTACTTCGCCTGCTGGCCGCCGAGCTGGCCGGCTCTGCAGACCCCAACGGCGCCACTGTGGCCACTGGTACGTGCACTATGCTTGTAGCGAGCATGCGTCGGGTTGTATCAGATGCCTGGCGGTTTGTAACAGACGTCTGGTGGGTTGTAACAGGCGTGCAGCGCGTTGTACCAGGCATATTTTTTTTTTTATGCAACTTAGAACTATACTGTTTCACCCATGATACCCCCCATGCGTTGCCATTCCTAAGGACTCAGGTGTTATTCCTCTGTACCCAGTAAATTCACGCCATATCCCACCCTTCAAACCGAAACACAGTCATGCAAACACAACTGCTTCACGGTTGAAACACGAATGGGACAGAGGTACCCAAGCAATCGACTTTTGTACAAAGTCTCCCTCCCTCCCTATACCGCGCTGTACGAGATGTAGTGCGTAGTCACACTTTGATTACAGCATTCTGTGTTTGATGTATTTATACAGTTGTTATTACACTGTTTACTATCTTGGTTTACATGATAGGTACTATGTTTTATATTATTATAATGTTGTATTTGGTTAATTATGTTATAATAACGTCAAGAGGCAATGGCATATTTGAGTTCCTAACATTTCCATTTACGCAGTATTTTGATTACGGCTTGGGTGATTTGTCTTGTTAATTTATAATATAACTATCTATGAAAAAAAAAGGAAAAATTGCAAGTCGTTTAACAGGGCTTAATATTATCATTTGTCAGATTTAGTTTTTTGATTTTCGAAATTAGAACAGGCATTTGGAAAGAGGACATTTAAAATTAGAACTGTGTAAGTTTCATAAGTGTATAATAAGTTCTCTGCTTTTCATTGTATTTCTTTGTCGAAATATTTGAATAAAGTACTGTATAAATCATTACAGGAATGCTCAGAAGTGCCATGCATCCACGTGATACTATACTGCTGGGTGAAGAAGGTTGGATTTACGATACAGATCAAGCTGATATTGAAGAACAGGTAAATTATAACGATTTTAGGCGGCATAATAATGCCTCGCCAATTTGGGCACAGCCATCCTTTTCTCGAAGATTTACGGCTGTTTTGAACCCTCTGTAACTTCATTGGGGATAAAGCAATACATTTTGTCTCACAAAAAAAAGCAATTGTAAAAAAACCGGTTATTTTGAATTATACATCAAACTATTGAATTGATTTTGATGAAATTTCTACAGGACCTATCTGAAATTTAACATATTTTTCAAATAAAAAAAAGAATCTTTCAAATAAATTTACAAATGTAGTAGTTCTGCGGTAACTAAGATAAAGAAACATATTACTTATTTGACAACTGTTTTTAAAGGCGTTTCTTATAATAAAAAAAAGAAAAATGTATTAAAACATTTAATATTCACCTTGTATTTGTACGAGTCTAAAAAGAGGTCCCGACAGATTACGGATGAGGTAGAGTGATGAGCTCGGCCGAGCCCGTGTGTCGCGGCCCCCGGTAAGCCGTTGGTTGTCGGCAGCTGGTGTCGCCGCTGAGCGCCAGCGGGTCGGGCGCGCTGGAACACGACCCGTGCTTCGTGTTCCGCGCGGCGGCGGCGGCGGCCGCGCAGCCGCTCGGCGTCGCCGTCATCGACGCCTCCGTCGCGCTCTTCCCGCTCATCTTCTCGCGCGCCGCCAACAAGCACAGGTCGCGCGCTCTATGCTCGCTGTTGTTCACCAGCCGGCATACACAGACACACACCGTCACTGTATGCCGCCAGTCGCCGCCTCCGGAGTAGAAATCGGGGTAGTGGGGTACACCCACACATCATCCCGCGGGCGAGAGATGATCATCTTGTTGTTATTGACCGTTGAGGTCGATACTAGTGACACAAATATGTATTTGTACTAAAAATTTTCATCGCTTGTCTCATTAAAAAAAATAAAGGAAGTGTTACCAGAAATAAGTTTCGAAATTAATTGAACTTGATAGAAAAATATGAAGTGTAAATCATATTTTGTCTTCTCGTTATTAACTTGTTGATGTTATTAAATGTTGATACAACTAATTGATGGTTCCGCGACTTCGCCCGCATGTTTCGGTATATAAAGTTTCTTATATGCTAAGTTAAGATATATCCTAGCCAAGTATCAAATTTCATTTAAATCCCTTCAACACAGATTGGCAACTCATTAGCAACTTCTCTGGTATCGTTAGTATCCATAGTCTGCGTTGATCACTTGCTATCTAGTGACTCGCATAGTCGTTTGTCTCCCTTTCATATAAAAAAATCAGCCATGTATACGAGATTGAATGACAAGCTTTCAAATTTCTTTAGAAACTTTCTCATTTATAATATTAGTAGGATTAAATTAAATATACTATACAGAGTCATAACAAGAGTAACTGTTTACTTATTTCTCTCTTCTTTTACTCTTAATTTATTCTCCAAATAATGTTATTAGTTAAGTCTTTTTTACCTTTTACTTCTTACATCGATTCTTTTATTCTGTCACTGGTTTCGAAGTGTTGTTAACTACCGAGAGAAAATATAGATTAAAATAATTTCTACAGACAACAAATGCTGGAGCACTTTGTGGAGTGCATCAAGATGTCGAAAGGTCCGCGGCAGGAGGCGATACAGATAAACGTATACACTGCACTGCTGCTCGCGCTGCGGACCCTCGCCGAGATGAAGAGCTCCCTCGGGCAGGACGCGGTCAAGAATATTGCTACAGAACTTATTATCGTTAGTATATTATGCAATATAAAATTCTCATTCTCTCTCTCTCTTTCTTTCTTTTTTCTCTCTCTCATTCCTTCATTCCCTGTGCGTGTTTCCCTCTTATTGTGGCACTCAGATGGAGTATAAGATAACATAGAATATTAAATCGATGATCACTAGGACAAATCTAGATGCTGTGACTTCATCTTCATGACATGATTTACATGTTTGGACAATGTACGCTTAGAAGTCACATCTGGTACGGTTTTTAACAAAACATAGACTTAACCTGTTTAATTTAACAAAGACACTTGAATGTGTTTTATTTAATGTCAATGTCCTACTGGAAACTAGTAGTGTATACAGGTTATAAATGTGTGATTCCTCACACCTGTATACAGAATAAAAAAAAAGTTATGTTACAATATAATAGGTATGTTAAGCTTATTATTTAAGTTTATTTATTGTCATTTAATTACTCTGCTTATTCTGTATTATACAGTATTTGTTTAATAGGAGATACATTAAAGGTTCACTGTGTAGAATGACAGGCAAATGTAATGTTATTTTAAATACACTATCGAGACTTAATGCGACGCGAATACAAGTAAATAGTACCTATCTATATATATTTATTGCCGACGGTTCAATGTGGATTGCGCCACGTCGTGGTCACGGCAGGACTAAAGTGAACGGCATCTTCTGGTAGCCCACTCCGGTCTTTACGTACTCTCATATTATCACTATTATTGTCTAGATCCATTCTATACACCGCACTCACTTTGTCCCGATAGTGTATTTAAAATATGTGTTAACAACGCAAAAGTAAAAAAAAAAAAACTTCCTTCTTTTAGAAGTCGGTCAACAAATGTAATGGTACGTAAAAAAGAAGACATGAATCTGTCTATACTTGTTACAGAGTGGTCTATCAGCGAACAGCAACACGGTCCGCGCTGCAGCTGCTTCTTGCGCGGGCAGACTTTGCGGTTGTATCACCGAAGCAGAGAATCAAGCACTGAGCGATCGCGTGATTGCTTTAGCCCGGTCGTCCGCGAGTCGGCCAACCCGCGCGGCTGCTGCAGCCGCTGTGGGTGCTGTACAGCGGGCGCGGGGTGCGGCGTCGAGCGCTGCAGCGCTGCCTGTGTTGCGAGCGCTTGCGCAGGATACTACCTCTGTAGAACTGCAGGTTAATTAAATTGCTGATTTTAGTGCATTTTAATAATATTCTCTTGTTTTAAATAAACATGTAATTTAAGATAAGTTGTTATATGCTTGAAATACTCATAAATAATTATTATTGTAGTTAATTTATATTGTCAGTTTGTTAAATCTGAAAAAAATGTCTTTTAGAAAAGATAGACATTTTTTATTTTAATAATATGTTTATTTTTAAAAAATATGCACCATATAAATAATAAAGAATATATTTAAATTAAAATAAATTTAGTTTACAGTGAAAAAAATTGCGTAGAGTTTACCATTCAATATGGCGGTCACCGCAATATGGTGGAATCATTTTTTTTTATATTTTATTTAATAAAATCTAATTTTAATAATTTTCTTTACAAATATTATCACCAGGTGTGGTCTATCCACGCGTTGTCAGTGCTAGCGGACGCGTCAGGGCCAATGTTCCGCGGCCACGTAGAGTCCACGCTTAATTTGGCTTTGAAGTTATTGTTCAGCGCTCCACCCTACCAGGAGGACTTGCATAGGAGCATCGGACGACTTCTGTCCGCGTTGATTACAGTTGTCGGCCCAGAATTGCAAGGTAATGTTAGTTTTTGTATTATATTTAAGAAAATTGAGGCTTTTGTTTAAAAAAGTACTTATTATCAATGTAAAATTATTCCTCTTATTCATAAAAATGTCAAACCTCTCATTAACCTAATTTGTTCTGTTCTTTTCGCGGTAAAAGTTTCAATTTGAAAAAAAAAAAATACAAAAATGTAATAGCTAAAATAGGTCTGTAGGAGGTTTTAGTTTCTATGAATAATTGATTGTTAAATTTCATTCAAATATGTTCAACAATTTACGATTAATATTAAATATCAAGATTTTTTGCAACCATCAACATTTATAAGTTACACTGTAGAATGGTAGATGTACTAGTATCGACACTAGATAGCGCTGTGTATATGGTCGTAGTAGGATTGTATACGAGTGCGTGTGTGTGCGTGTGTGTGGCAGTGTGCGCGGTGAGCCGGTTCGTGTGCGCGAGCGCGGCGCTGCTGGAGAGCGGCGCGGGCGGCGGCGGCGGCGGCGCGCGCGCCGAGGCCATCGGCTGCCTGCAGCAGCTGCAGATGTTCGCGCCGCGCCACATCAACCTGCACACGCTCGTGCCGCAGCTCTGCGTTAGTACCACGCTCTTGGCTATATATATATTATTTTTACACAGTTCCAATTTCAAATGCTCTCTTTCCAACTGCCTGTTCCAATTTTGAAAATCAAAAAGTAAATCTAACAAATGATAAGTTACAGGATACTCTGTAATAACCAAAAGTTGCCATTAATTGCTAGGACTAAGTTGTGAAGCCTCTGTACCCTGTAATTTCATTGCTATACTGCTCACCCTTTAAACTGAATTTAATGAAGCTTAACAACAGAATTTCGAGTTTAATTGAGTTATCCATACAGACTACTTTTGTTTGGCTCATCGTGATAAAACCAAGAAAGAGATGCGATATCCACAAGTACCCACAAGGAGGTCAATCTAACAGGATATTACAATTTATTATAGATTGACTTATTCTTTATTTATTTATTCTTTATTTATTTATTCTTTATTGCACAATAAAATTTTGTACAAATGGCGAGCTTAATGCCATATGGCATTCTCTACTAGCTAACCATTAGGTAAAAACAGAAAGCGTATGAAGGGCAGATGTGGTGAAAAATATGTGACAATTATAGTAACACAGTAAGGCAACACACAATATAAATGTAATATACACATAAGAAATGCACATATAATACATAAACATTACTTTTAATATATATGGATAAACTAATACATATAAAATACATACATACATATGTCTAGGGATTGTTATTCAACGATATATGTGTTCAACGATTCCTCTCCCTCGCTGGATACTTATGTGTATGTATGTGTGGTGTGTTGTGGTAGCGCGAGCTATCGAGTCCCGAATTAGCAGTTCGTCGCGCGGCGCTGTGCTGCTTGCGGCAGCTGTCGCAGAAGGAGGCCGGCGACGTGTGCCGCCACGCGCTGCTGGCGCGCGACCACCTGCCCGCGCGGCCCTACATAGGTACCGCCTTATCTTGTATGAGGACGCATGAGTATGTATGGCCTGTGTGCTGCTGTCTGGGTGGTAACATACGTATGGCAAATATGTATACTGGAAATACAATGAGATAAAAAAAAACTATTACACTAATGTGGGTGTTCAATTTAAATGTGTGCACGTGATATTTCTGAATGTGAAGTTGACGTTTCATATCAGCCTTTAACTGCCCACTGCTGAACATAAGCCTCCCCCTTGGGGTGGGGGTGGGGGGTTGCTAGTAGTTGCCGCGCTTGGTAGGCGGTTTGGTAACCGCAGTCAGGCTTTAGAGATGTTTTAAGAGGAACACTGGTGCTCATCCCTCGCTCTCCCTTAGTCGGCTCTTACGATACTCAAGGCGTAGGAAGGCGTGGCCTATTCTATGGCGGGATCAAATGGTAGAAATTATAATTGTTTGTGTTGGTTAATTATGTATTTAAATAATTTGTTTTTAAAATATTTTTTTAAGTTTGAGTGAAGTAACTGATGAGTTCTACTTCTATCCACAGGTGTGGTGATAACAGAGACGGGCCTGCCGGGCGCATTGTTCGCACTACTGGACGCCGAACGCGACGATACAATCCTGCGGTATGCACGCGACACGCTCACTTGCTGCGTGCTCGCCGCTGCCGCTCCCACTTCTACTACCGCTACCGCTCCCGCGCCCGCCCCAACACGTCTTCGCGACTGGCTGGCGCTTCTCAAGCGTGTGCTCACTGTGCGACTTGGTATGTTAGGATTCATCGTGTAGGCATTTGTTTATTTCTTGTTACCCCTTTTCTGTGGTTTCACCCGTGGAATTACTATATTAATTATCCAATATGTAATTAAGTTAGGATGTAACCATCTCATGTATCAAATTTAATTTAAATCATATGTTAAAAATATTTTGTTGTTTGATTAACAAACATTCAAATATCATTGCAAATTTTCTCATTAATGGTAAAAATGTAAATTGGACTCCTATTTTCGCACTAAGCCTCTCATTTGGGCCATAACACTCATTTATGGTATTACTAGACTGTATATAACAACGTAGGGAGACTCTGTGGAGATTGTCCTGATATTGTATACTTATGTCTATGATGATAAAGGTCATATTTAATTATCCCACAAACTTATCACGCTGTCATTGGAGGAAAGGGATTGCTAGTAATCTTAAAGAGTCTTAACAGCTCTATTTATAATTGCAATGCATCTTCCAAGGTCGACATTCACGTGGTTCCATTTAGAAACCATCGTTGTTAATTCTTGTCGAATTTGCTATGATGGGTACCTACTAACCTGAAAGCAAGTCAGATCTCATTGGTGCCCCGCCAGCGTATACCAATAACGCAGGCGGGGTCGTGATTCCAATTTCACCTATTAAGAAAATAGTATTGTCATTGACCTCAAAGAGATCTTTTAGACTATGTACGATAAAAAAAATGTTGTTCTTTTATTTCTCGAAATCATGCCTTTAGAGGCTCGCGGTAGATGAATTATAATTTGTTATGATCTATTAAATACCTTTATTATAATTTTATATGTAAGTATACTAGGGTTATAACATTGATTTGGTTTTTACTATCTTAATGCTATAATTATATGAATAAATAAATAAATTAAATAAATATTTGCATCTCCCAGAGGATAGTAATAACCCTGAGACGGACTTGGACGGCGAGGGCGATGATGACCAGGCGGAATTCCATGCGGAGTCGGAGCAGTCCACGCACCCCGCAGTGCAATCTAGGTGGCCCACGAGGGTGAGACATTATCATTATATTTTTCAACCAACTTCAAAAAGAGGTCCTTAGTTTGGTTGTATTTTTCTTTAATTTTGTTATCTTAGGACTGCTATCTGCTATTGGCACTGTTTCTAATTTCACTACGCAAGTAATACTATTATGCAGGGTTACTTCATTTTGAAATATTTTCAAATATTTCACAGGTATTTGCAATGGAGTGTATACAGAAAATACTGAGCGCTTGCGAAGCGACTGGTGACAGCGCACACTTCGATCTCGTCAAAGCTAAGGAGAAATTACAAACTGATCCAAATGGTATGTTTTATTTATTTGTTTTCTTAAAGAAAAATCAACAGTTAAATATTATATTATAAAAATAATAGTAACGAGAAAAAAAAAACAATTACAGGTATTCCCAAATAAAAACAAGATTTAACTAAATGTATATGATATTGTTAATACGTACAATCAACTAAATTAAAATAATAGGTACAAAAATTATAGGTAGGCAGTTGTGGGAAATAAAAAGTTGAAGTTATACATTCAAAGATAATAATAATTTTTATCACGACAAGAAAAATGAATCTGGTAGGTGTTGGTAAGGGACAAAATGAAAAATTAAAGACAACTATTTTAAAATTTACACAGCCTACCTATACATCGAGCATACATTCACAATAACATAACATTAATGATTTTATAGTTATACAATGAAGTCATTATTAAAGTTCAGAATAGAATAAAATACTACATACAACAATAATAAGTCACAGATGGTCACAATTACAATATGTTTATATCTTATATATTAATTAAATTATTTGTAATGTCAATATAAAAAAAAAAGTTAAGAAATTGAATTCAGATTTTATTGATTGAATTCAATTGTATCAAATTGAATGCATTTTACAGTTGTATTCCTAAAGTTCGAATTTCAAATGTACTCGTGTTTTATCTTAATACGCTATCTAGAAGTGGTATATTTCAATAGTTCTCCTACTGTCAAATGCCACGCGTACGACGTTGCGGGTTAAAGCTAGTTTCCCAGTAAAATAACGAAGAGCATTGTCCACCAGCGGACTACCTGTCGCTGCACCTGTCGGACCTGGTGCGCATGGCGTTCGTGGGCGCGACGGGCGAGGCGGACGCGCTGCGGCTGTGCGGGCTGCGCACGCTGCAGCTGCTCGTGCAGCTGTTCGCGCGCGCGCCCGAGCCCGACTTCCCCGGCCACCTGCTGCTCGAGCAGTACCAGGCGCAGGTCTGTGCTCGGTCTGGCCTCGCTACTTGTACATATACACAAGGCCTAAAATGAGCTTGCCAACTACAAGCTATTATAATATTGCTTCTATTTTCCATTCGTGTTTCGACCGTGAAGCAGTTGCGTTTGCATGGCTGTGCTTCGGTTTGAAGGGTGGGATATAGCGTGAATTTACTGTGTACAGAGGAATAATACCTGTGTTCTCAGGAATGGCAACGCATGGGGAGTATCAACGGCGAAACAGTATACTCTGTTATGTCCATGGTATTGCTCATGTCTATAGGCGACGATTACAACTTTCCATCAGGTAGGCCATCAGCTTGTTTACCATTCTAAGCTGTATAAAAAAAAATAAAAAAAAAATTAACTTATATTCACATGGATCTAATATCCTTATGACAAGCTCATTAAGACGGCCTACCTGCCTCCTCCCCAAATGGGCATTTGGGGGTGGGGGGCTTACTACAAATGCTAGTATAATCTACAAATTAATTATTATGTGTATATTTATATTAGTCTAATTATATATTTATATTATATTAAGTATTAGTTTTTATTTCCTCAATTCGATAATGCACCGCCTATTTATTTCTCGGTTTGCTCAATTTTCGCGTTCGATTGACTGGTAAAGAACACCTTCCGCTATTAAGTGCGCCATATGTACATAGTTCCACATAGTTTCATTAAAGTTTAAATACATGAATTCGTTTATCGCTTTTCTAAAATCTATTGTGCAAAATTCTGGGCGATATTGATGAATTACATTGAGAGTTACCCAGTGTGGTTTTTATCAAGCTGAGACATAACATGTAGCTTGCATTGACACTCGATCGTTATGCAGGTGGGTGCGGCGGTGCGGCCAGCGTTTGCAGGCGATACGGCGTCGCACGTGACAGCGGCCGCTTGCGACGTTTGCTCCGCCTGGATTGGCTGCGGCGTCGCCAGGGACATCAACGACCTGCGCAGGTACCGCGGCACGTACACGCACACGCACACGTACATGCACATCTATACGTACACGTTTGCTGACGGTCATGTCACGACACGACATCGCACGTGATAGCATGCACATGCGACAGATTCTCATACTATATATATTTAATTAATGTAGAAATTTTACTGCTGTAAATGGATCGTTAAAGCTTATATGCGACTATAAAATAATAATTATGCTATTAATAAATTATTCTATTCTAAATAAAAAATATGTCGGAGTTTATTTTGCGAGTAATTTTTTTTTTATGTAATTCTCTTTGTGTTTTAAATAATATCGTAAGCAAAACGCATATAAACTCAAACTTATCTATCCCATTCAATTTTTAAGAATTTTGTTTCATTATTTTCAGAGTTCATCAGTTACTTGTGTCTAGTTTAGACAAATTAAATACTAAAGGCAATACGACGCTCATATACAATGAAAGTATGGCAACATTAGAAAAGTTGTCAATCCTAAAGGCATGGGCTGAAGTAAGTGTACAAACTAATATTATTTACAGTATATTTTAAATAAAATGGAAAATATTGACATATTTTTTACAGGTACAGAGGAATAACATATGAGTCCTCAGGAACGGCAACACATGGGGGGTATCATGGGCGAAACAGTCTACTCTGTTATATCCATGGTACTGTTCATGTCTATAGGCGACGGTTACCACTGTCCATCAGGTGGGGCATCAGCTTGTTTGAAGGGTGGGATATGGCGTGAATTTACAGGGTACAGAGAAATAACACCTGAGTCCTCAGGAATGGCATTGCATGGGGGGTATCATGGGCGAAACAGTCTACTCTGTTATATCCATGGTACTGTTCATGTCTATAGGCGACGGTTACCACTGTCCATCAGATGAGGCGTCAGCTTGTTTGCCATTCTAAGTTGTGCAAAAAAAAATCTGACATATTAGAAATTTTTGTTTGTACTGTGCAGCACATTTAATTATAATACACTTTGCATTTCGATAATTAGCAATTTGGCGTTACGTGCGCATTTTGTCTATCACATAAATATAGACTTTAATCCATAATCCATAAGCAAATGTATTATGCAAGCATTCTATCATTAATTTTAATTATTAGTCTCTCTTATAAATGAATAATACTTTTGTAAAATTCGAGTTTTATCAACACAACTGAGTGTACCCATCCAGCTTTTTTTAAACCTTTCCGGCTGAATAACTTCTGACTAGATTACAACATTTGTATTTGCAGGGTTGTTTTTTTTTGCATTACGAGGTCTGTCCGGAAAGTTCGTATAAAAGTGTTCTGGAATGCGAGAAAGAGGAGTGGGGAGGCCAGGTAAGCGCAGGACCCCTTCCTTATGTCCCTAACAATGCTTCAGTTCTGGTCTGACCGCCGTGCGGTGCGAACTGGCTTGTCACGCCATCTGTGAAGTTACCTCTTAACGAAACCCCGTCGGCATGGAGCCCGCTTCCGTTGAAGAGCCGCGCGTCGTAATCAAGTTTCTCTCGAAACTCGGCAAGAATGGCCGTTATCTCAGAACAGTTTATGGGGATGATGCTGTGAAGGAACCAACCGTCCACAAGTGGCTAAAAAGATTCAGAGAGGGCCGAGACAATGTTGATTGTTTTTTTCGATGTTCGACATATTGTCCATCAAGAATTCGTCCCTCCAGGCCAGACAGTTGATGGAAAATTCTACGTCGATGTGCTCAGACGCCTCAAAGCTCGTGTGGCACGAGTTCGTCCAGAATTGGCGCGAGAGGGGCGTTGGATTCTTCACCACGACAATGCCCCTGCCCACACCTCTCTTGTTGTCCGTGAGTTTTTGAGTAAAAATTCCATTACGGTGACCGAACACCCCCCCTATTCGCCGGATTTGGCCCCGTGTGACTTCTTCTTGTTCCCAAAAACCAAATTGGTACTTCGGGGGCGGCATTTAGGGGACATAAATGAGATAAAAAAAAAGCTACGACGGGGCAGCTGAGAAACCTACAACCAGAGGACTTTCAAGGAGCCTTCTCACAGTGGAAACGGCGTTGGCACAAGTGCATTATGTCACAGTGGGAGTACTTTGAAGGGGATAAAATTGATTTACCTGAATAATTGTAAAATAAAATTTTTAAAAAACTTTTATACGTACTTTCCGGACAAACCTCGTATAATATAATTGCACTACTTATTGTTAGCTTTGCATAATGTTCCATTTTTAAATTTAATTAAGAGGTAAATTTCGGTTTTAGTTATAGTTATATTTAAGGTATGTTTCACTGATATAGTTACTAAGAATTTCTTGTTCATCAGGTTTACATAGTAGCAATGGTTAGCAATGGAAGTGCTCCAGGTAGCTACGTTAAGCAACTTGATACAAAGCCGTTTAATACCAAGGCTGAGTTAGCAAAATGGCGCAATCAGCTGCTTCAGAATAGCAATGAGATTGACAATGCCAGCCAAAGTGACGACGATGACGAGTACGGAGAGTTTGAGTCGAAAGGAGAAAGCCTGCTGAAGCTAGTCGAACCTGAGTTGGAAAGTTTAGGGGAGAATTGGCTTGCGGCGTTGAAGGATCATGCGTTGTTAAGTTTACCTCCAGGTTAGTATGTTTTAATATGTGGTATTCTCTTCTCAATTTTCAGAAGATATTTAATATTAGAAATAATTTAAGAGTGACGATATAATGTACATTCGATGTACCAGGATCAATAACATTAGTGACAATAATATTGTAGAGTATGGAGAGTAAAATTTAAAAGATGAAAGTCTGCCGAAATTGTTGGAACCTCGGTGAAAGAGCTTGCGAGAGAATTAGCTTTGTCGCATTGAAGGATAACGTGATTTTCAGTTGTGGATTACTTAATGGAATTTAGTATTATATATGAATTTATATTGTGGTCGTGTGTGGCAGAGTTCGCGTCGCAACTACCCCACGGCGGTGGAGCGTTCTACTGCGCAGCAACAGCAGATGCAGCTCGACCACACTATGCTCGCGCTTGGCCCGCGCTGCTGTATGCTGCCGCACTGCGTTATGGTTCGCCTGCTGCTGCACCCGTTCCCGCTGCCACCACTGCCACCGCTACCGATACTGCGGCCCCTCCCGCCACCGGTTAGTACACATTCTCGTCTATAATTAATTAAAGAATCTGCTAAAATTAGTGGAATTATAGTTAGTGATTTTGCGGAATTGGTTTGCCGTATTGAAGGATTAAGTGTTGTAGAGCCGGATACACACTGTGTGTCCAGTTGTCAGGTTAGTACGGGAGAAGGAATAATCCGGCTAGAAGGATCAATGTATAGAGTGTGCCAGAACTGTTCTGTGTTCTGTATAATGTTCTGATATAAATAATTCTTATAAATTATAACAAGGTTTATATAAACATGTACTTTGATAAGTTTATCAATGTACAATTTTTATATTTAGCAAATTTTTTTTACAATTTTTATGTTTAGGAAAGTTTATTTAGCAAATTTGTTGGTAGTGGAGTTCCACTACTAACAAATTTGCTTTAGTAAATAAAATACAAAAACATATTTTATCTTCATTACTTCATTGCTAATTTATATACATTTACAGAGACAACGGAAGATACATTGGACAATCGAGCAGCAAAGAACGAAAATGGGAATTTTGAATTCTATGAACCACTTGATGAAAGATTCCATTTATTATTTGGTGTGTATTTTTTTATAGCTCTGCACAATAATCATTATAATCCTAATTAACGATTTTACGACATTCACAGTGTTTAATTTTTAGTCAATTGGTCATAATTTAAGATATTAACTGTTACAGGCATATGCATGGAAGCGCTGTGTGCTCAAAGAGATATGAGCGTGGAAAACACGATACAAGTCTTATTGTCTCTTGTTACATTATTAGATGCGCCTGAAAATAGAGCTAGATTATTGAAAGACAGGTATGCCTATTTAGTAAAAATAATATATCTGTATACATAAATGATATAATTGATACTAGATAAGTTTGCATTGAAAGCTGAATTATTGGCAAGTAGACCTAGATAGATTTAGCAATAAAAGGGATAATATCCTGTTAAACTAGACAGGTAGGTATTGTATATCTTTCTACTGAATTTTATCCAAATTTATTCAATCATACATCACTTTAAAAATATTTACACATAATTTACAAATACAACTTTAAAATCAATTCTATTAATATTTTATATATATATTTTTTTCTATAAATAGGCAAATAATTTATATTCTTTTTCTATTAATAGAAATATAAATTTATTTTTGCAGAGCACTAGCTATAGAGTTGTGCCAAATTATCCATCGCACCGGCTTAACTGAAGAGAGTATCGAGGCGCTGTTTCTTTGCGCTGATGTCCTCAAGCTGATTATAGAGGGCGCTAAGGAGCAGCTACATGCAAATATGCAGGCTAAAATTAAAGGTAAGTCAAATTTATTTTTCTGCTTCGATCCGGCTTGAAGGATCGAGATTTATATAGTTTTTGATTAGTTATTTAAAGGAAAATGAATTAATGTTAATTATAATGTTTAATGATACATTATTAATTGTAGTTAAAATGTAATGGACATGTTAAACGATTCACATGTCTGACACGGCTGTCAGTGAGACGCGAATCGCCGAAGCAATTAGATATTATATTCAAATGATAAAATTCAAATAAATCTTACTCAAATTGATATCAATAAATTATTTTTTTTATTAAGAAATCAAAATTACTTGGTGTTTTATAACAGATCAAAATGTGATAAACTTACACATAAATGTATTACTTACACATTTTGGTAACAGAGTTGGCTCCGCAAGAGTCGGCAGCGGGCAGCATCCCGCAGTCGGTGCTGGAGGCGGTACATACACTGGGCGAGGGCGGGCCTACTGGTGACCTCGTGCCCGGCAAGTCTGTTGTGAGTAACATTCATTCAGAGAGTAATACTGAATATAATAGAACCTGTTTGTAGGTTCACTATTCAAAGCATTTGAAAAGCAACTCTCATATAAGCGAAATAAAGCATAATATAATTTGTATGTTACTTTAGTCTATTGCCAAAGGGATTTGCAGCGTCTCGTGCCATGCGCCTCATACGCGTGTTGTAGTAGTAGTAGTGAGGTGTAATGATATGCAGTTGTGTATTTAAGACTATTTTCCAGAAGGGTGAGGATTCTTAAAAAAAAGCACATACATGTGTTCTCTCGGATATGTATGGGTGTAGTTGAAAGTTCTGTTCGTACCCTGGCCGGGCATCAGAAGTAAGTTGAGCATGGCGCATTCGGCCCCCCTTGAAATGCTTCTATGCGTGTAATACACGTGAGCTTAGGTATCTGGAGGTGGGCGTGTGTGCTGGACGGCGAGCCCGCAGTGGCTTGTAGTGGTAATGTGCGAGGAGTGGTGGGCGTGCGCAGGTGTTCTCGTGCCTGGAGGTGGGCGTGTGTGCCGGACGGTGGGCTCTAGTGGTAGTGTGTGACGAGTGGTGGGCGTGCGCAGGTGTTCTCGTGCCTGGAGGTGGGCGTGTGTGCCGGACGGTGGGCTCTAGTGGTAGTGTGTGACGAGTGGTGGGCGTGCGCAGGTGTTCTCGTGCCTGGAGGTGGGCGTGTGTGCCGGACGGTGGGCTCTAGTGGTAGTGTGTGACGAGTGGTGGGCGTGCGTAGGTGTTCTCGTGCCTGGAGCTGGGCGTGTGCGTGGCGGCGCGGCGGCTGCCGGCGCTGCGTGCTGGCGCGGCAGGCGCGGCGGCGGCGCCGGCGGCGCGGCCGCTGGGTCCGCGCGCTGATGCGCTGCTGGCGCGGACGCTGCGGGCGCTCGCCGACCTGCCCGCGCTCACCAGCCCGCACGGTACGTACAAGTATTTCTAAACTCTGTTTTTTTTTTTTTTAATTAAAAAAGTTTATTACAAAGTATGACAACGTCGCAATTATCTGTCAGCTTTCAAAAACGATGCTCCACTAATGAATTAAAAATGTTAATCGTAAAATTCGTTGCATATAAATTTTTTAGTGGTAAATTTTGAAAATTTATAGGTTCCAGATAAATTTAGATTCTCAAAATTCAAGTTTTCTAAAATAGCTATTAATTTTTTTATAAAAAATTATATACATATTAAATAATCTAAAAATCTTTATTTGTGAATTTATAAATAAATCTAAATAATGTACCTGTTTTCAATTTTCAATTTTCTTCAATTCCACTTCACACTTAACGACGTGTAATGAATATGGCAGGCGCGCTGTCGCTGCTGCCGAGCCTGCTGTACCTGGCGACGGAGATGCTGCGCGAGGGCGCGGGCTCGGCCGTGGTGGAGGAGGCGGCGCTGCTGCTGCTGCAGGCCGCCGCCGACTGCCGCGTGGCGCGCCTGTCCGACCACACGCGCCAGCAGCACGCGCACCTGCTCAACGCCACGCTCGCCAAGCTCATCGACAGGGTCAAGAGCGGTCAGCACTTTACAACATATTATTTTTTTTATTTATTAATTTATATTTTTTATTCTCAAAGAGGGTTGATATCAGGCAGGCGGCTGGTCGTAAAACTATAAACCAAATCTTTTTGTAATATAAATAAAAAATAAATTGGGATAAGGGTAGGAAAATGATGATTAATTTAGACTTTATTGCATTATTTGTAATATACTGTAAATTGGACTCTCTTTTCCGCGCTTAGTCTCTCATTTGGGCCATTGTGCGTATGAGTCGTAGCTAGTACAGCCAGCTTAGCTCCGCCCTTCTGGGCGGAGCTAAGCTTCTGCGTAGAAGCTTTCTGAGATCTTCACAGGCCTCACCGAGCGACCTCATCGTTCCGAGGATTTCTAAATGTTGAGGGGCCACAGCTTCACATTCCAGGATTACGTGAACAGCCGTTTCTTCGGTGTCAAAATAGCCTCGACATAGAGAGCTGTCTGTGACTCCTATTATTTATAAATGTTTGTTTAATGGGCAATGGCCTGTTATTGTCCCTATCATTATTTTAAGTTTTTTTTTCTATCTAGATATCTATTGCACTATTTATCTTGAACATCAATATATTGAACTATTACTGAGAATTCATCATCATCATATCAGTTTTCATCATCATTGTCCACTGCTGAACACAGGCTTACCAGAGGGAGACTTTCTACAAAAGTCATTTGCTTGGATAACACTGTTCCATTTGTGCTTTTACCGTGAAGCAGTTGTGTTTGCATGGCTGTGTTTCGATTTGAAGGGTGGGATATGGCAGTGAATTTATAGGATACAAAGGCATAACACTTTAGTTCTCAGAAATGGCAACGTATGGGATCTCCATGGGCGACACAGTATACTCCATGGCACTGTTATGTCTATAAGCGACGGTCACCACTTTCCATCAGGGGGGTTAGATTGGCAAATAAACTGGTGATCAGTTTGTTTACTATTCTAAGTAGCATAAAAAAATAATTTTCTATCTTCGGAAGTTTTTCAGTACACCTCGCCCTTCTCGCTTGACAGGGCGCTTCGGCCTTCGTAATTAGTTGCCAACCAACTATAATTAAGCTTTGGTGACGTTTTAAGAAGGACACTACTGGCCATCTCTCGCCTCGACCATTAAGATTTCTTAATTGCTTTTTACGACACTCGGCCGGCGTTTCGTTGTGATCTGTTGTTAATGTATGTATGTGTATGTGTGTATGTGGCGGCGTGCAGAGGAGCCAGATCAGCGCATCTCGGCGGTGGCGGGTGCACGCGCCATGGCGGCGCTGGTCAGCCGCGCGCCGCCCGCGCCGCCGCTGCACTACCCCTGCCTCAACCACTTCCGCCAGTGCCTCGACACCGACGACCACGAGGTACCGCCGCACCCTGCAACTTGTCGAATCAGTCCACATTTATTGTTTGTTTATATTGCAAGAAACAGTGTACACAGGCAACAATGGGACTATTTAACATATTCTTATATAGCTATCTCTTTTAGCAGCGTATGCTTATTTTTTTTTTATTCTTTTATATACGTATTTTCTGTGTATTACTGCCCAAACTTAAAATTATTGCCAATAAGTTAGATAGGTATTTATTATTTTGACATATTATACAGGGATGACAAATGTAGCATAGATAATAATTAAAACTTAAAACTAATTTCACATCAAATGTTTAATTTAATTTCACTCTTCAGACTTTTAATATTGAGCTTTCAGACGAGCAAAAAACATAAAGTAACATCTTTATTAGAATTACTTATTACTTTTTTATCTGCTACTTTATACGTGTGAATTTCAAAAGTGGGAAATGTAATAAAAGAAACTACTATATGACGTATCGAGATATAATATTTATAATTTAGACATTTAAAAATATAACTGTGGATAACTTTATGCAGTAGTTTTTGCTTGAAATCGAAATAAATAAAAAATATTGTTTGTGTCTATTTGTCCTATTGAAAATAATTATATTATATTTGTTTAAATATTTTTAAGTACAGACATCGTGTAGTGACAATTTTATTATATTAGTATGGTTTGGTCATTTGGAGAGGATGGATGAAAGAAGAATTACGAAAGAGATTTACCGAGCAAGAATGAATGGAGATGTCGGTAGGGGCCGTCCTAGACGGACGTATGTCGACCAAATAGGCGACGTGCTGAAGAGGGGCCAAATTAAAAGTAGCCGTAACCGGCGAGCGTGTATGACAAGATTGATGAATGTGGAAGAAGCGAAAGAGGTCTGTTTGAATCGAATCATTTGTCGTTGCATTGTTTGTGCCTACCCTAATGGGAGACAGGCGTGACATATATGTATGTATGTGTGTAGTATGAGATGTTAGGTACTAAGCGGGTGGGTGCGCGTGCGCAGGCGTTCGCGGCGTGCTGCGGCGCGCTGCGGCGCGTGTGGGGGCGCGGCGCGGCCGGCGGTGGTGGCGGGGCGGGCGGGGCGGGCGCGGCGTGGGCGCGTGCGCTGGCGGCGCGGCTGGTGGCGCGCGCGGCGGCCGCGGCCGGCAGCGCGCCGCCCGGCCCGCAGCCCGCGCCCGCGCGCGCCGCCCTAGCCGCCCTCGCCGCGCTCGACCACCTGCTCGACTCCGCGCCACGCGATGCCAGTACGTGCCCTGCCTGCTCCTTTACACTCTCCTCCCACTACGTGCTACATTGCTTACCCTGCTATGGTACTTAGTGACGCTTGCAGGATTCTAGGAAACTGGAGCCTACTCTATTAAAAGTCACCTGAACTGAATCCGTCTAACTATTATAACTTTTCTAACTCTATTCAAATGTAATTATTTTGTAACTAGAGCCGATACTTGTTTAACTCGGGAACATGTCCTTTGGTATAATTCCATGTCAATTTCTAGTAGGTTGTGCCTGTAATCGTTCTTTCAGAGAAATCTTTACATACATTGTATCATTAAGGCTTATCCATTGTATCGTTCACTTGTACTGTACTGTAAACCACTTAAATTTTTAATACGCTTGAAGTTCGTAAGTAAGCATTGACTCTTGAATGATTTTTTTTTTAATTTAAATAATATTCTGCATATCATTGTTTGTCATACCGCTACTTTTGCAGAGGAGAATTATAAAGGTACGGATATTGTTATATGTAATAAAAAATTTTAGAAAGAGCAATATTTGTCTCTGTACTTCAGAATTGCTCTATTATTTTAACTTTGAAAGACACCTAAAATTAATTAAGATATTATTGTCCGCGTTTGTTCAAAAAGGCTTTACAGTGATCTTCAATTTACAGCCACCATAAAAATCTAATAAAGTCATATCTTAGAGTTGATTAGGATGTATGACAAAAACAAACATATTTTAATAGTACTGCTCAGTATTAAATGCAATACACAATAAAATTTTTACAGTTTGTATAACAAATAATCGATCAAAAGACACTCTGCTGATGTCCTGAAATTCTGAACATAGGTCTCTCCCATAAGGAGGTTTTGACAGCAGTTGCCGCGTTTGGCAGGCGGATTGACAACTGCAGTCGGGCTTTAGTTAAGTTCTAAGAGGGACACTGCTGGTTATCTCTCGACTATTAATTTCCGTTACTCTTATGGCACCCATGGGAAAGGAAAGGGTGGCTTATTCTAAGCCGGTATTACACGGTGACTGCTAATAGTATAAATAAACAATTTAGCAATTGTTTAAATGTTTCAATTGCTTACTAATTTTGTTTCTGATAGTATTTCTGTGATAATTTCCAAAACTTAGATTTTTGTTTTATAACATAGGGGGCAAACGAGTATGCGGCTTTTTTTTTATACAACTTAGAATGGCAAACAAGCTGACGGCCCACCTGATGGAAAGTGGTACCGTCGCCTATAGACATGAGCAGTACCATGGAGATAACAGAGTATACTGTTTCGCCTATGATACCCCCCCTGCATTGCCATTTCTGAGGACTCAGGTGTTATTCCTCCGTACTCATTAAATTCACGCCATACCCTTCAAACCGAAACACAGCCATGTAAACACAACTGCTTCACGGTTGAAACACGAATGGGACAGAGGTACCCAAGCAATCGACTTTTGTACAAAGTCTCCCTGATTGCAAGTGACTACCGCCACCCATGATCACCCACAAGACCAACGGTATTGCAGGTGTGCTGCGGGCCTTTTAAAAAGGAATATGCTCCTTTCTTGAAGGTTATGTTGTCGTATCGGTTCGGTAATATTGGTGCTGGAAGTTGTTTCCAGAGTTAAGTTTTTGTAAGTGGTATTGAGTGAGACTAGAGAGGTGCGCGTGGCGGCGGTGTGGTGCGCAGGCGCGGCGCTGGTGCGCGTGGTGGCGCCGGTGGTGGTCGCGAGCCTGCGGCCGCCCGGGCGGCTGGCGGCCGCGCCGCCGCACCACCGCGCGCTGCACGACTTCGCGCTGCAGTGGCTCGCTCGCCGCGCGCCGCACTACCCGCAGGTCGCTGTTACATTCATTCTGTTTGTCGCATGTGCATGTCGCACGTGCATCCAATCACTCTCTTCGACTTCCAATTAATTATATACTACTTAGTTCACTAAATAAAAATAGTACTAAAAATTTTAAATATGTAATAATTATTAATAATTTAAAATATTTGAAATATCATAAATATATAATATGTATTTATTTTATTATTGTTAATATTTAAAATATGTGTAAACAACGCAAAAGTTTACAATTAACTACTCAGAATTGCTTATAATTAAGTTTACTTCAATAAATTTTTAGTTGAATTGTCTTTAAAAAAATGTTTACACCGACTTAGAAATAAATTCTAATTTCAATAAAAACTTATTTTTCAATGTCACCATCTAGCGATAAAAACAGTACTTATCCTGTTAACATTATGTGACAATACGTAAAAACGTTTGGATGTTTCTTTGCTTAAATGGTTGAATAAATTTGAATGAAATATAGCATACAAATAGATCGTGTGATATATAATACTTGAATTAGTATCAAAATATTCTAGTAGTAATTTAGAAAATTTAACATCTAGAAATAAATACAAATGTATTGTGAAACGGGAAATATTTTTTTAAAAAGAGAGAAAGAGAAAATTAAATGTGAAAAATTTCATCTTTGCTTTTCATTTTCCGTCATTCTTTAAATTTTAGTCTAGTGTAAACAAGCTAAGCGCATTATTTAGTTGCTTGTATAACTAAAAAAAAAAAAACATTGTTTTTACATGGAAAACATGACAACGATAGGAAGAGTGTAACATAATAAATTTTGACAGAAAGCAATCTTATAATTTTAAAAAAGTCTATCTATATTAAATTTCATTCCGTTCTGGCTCTAATATCACGTTCTAGGGGAAAAGGATTGCTAGTAATAGGGATTAGACGCTGTTTTTATACCCATTGCTACCATTATACCCCATCAGGTCGACCTCCTCGCGGTTCTCCCTGAAAACCATCGTGATTGATTTTTTTTTTATTGAATTTGTCACTATATGCTAACTGACCTGCTTTATCATCACCAACCGTCTCTCAATGGTGTTCCGCCAGTATATACCGATAACGTAGACAGGGTTTCCTTTTCATTATCATCCATTAAAAATATATCATGTTCTTATGCCAAAAAAATTAAATTGCAGGAGTTCAAAGACATGATGCAACAGTCGTCGGATTTACGCACAAAACTGGAGAGCGCGGTGAAAGCGAACCAAGCGAGCAGCCGCGCCGCGCGCCAGCCGCAGCAACAGCGGCCGCTGTTCGACGCCAAGCCCGCTAAACCCACCATACAACTCAAGACGGACTTCAGTGACTTTAGGTAAACTCATAGGCGTATTTAAAGGGGCCAGGGAGGGTTGTGTCCACGCCAGGGTATGAACGGAACATTCAGTTATGCGCAAAGACATGTCTCAAGTACATAGCGGTTTTTAGGGCCTGACCTTCCTTCCCCTCTCTGGAAAGTAATCTTAAATACGCCGATAAGTAAACTGCCAAGACTTGATGTTGGAGGTTGTTGACATTTGGTAGAATTTGGAATTCATTTCAATAAATAACCCTTGTACTACGGTCATTGATCTTCCAAGAGTTTATAATGCCTTGATACGGAGAAAATTGTCAGGTAATGTACGAGTCATTTAAATTATTTATTTAGTAATTAACCTGTGGAAGTAGTACAAGGATTCTGATCTATAAAGATGAATTCCACCAGAGCTTTTTAAAATAAAAATGGACATATCATGCAGCGCCATCTATATTTTAAAGTAAGCGCAATTTGTAGTACGAGTATAACAAATGACGTACATGAATATACAGGGTAAAATTGTAATCATTAGCGACACGAAAAATTAACCCTTATTCATAAATACTCAAAACCACTACAAACCTATTTTAACTATTGAACTGTTTTGTCACTTTCCTTCTAATTGGGAATGTAGCATAAAAGAAAGAGAGAACGTCTAATACATTTGACGTTTTTATGTACAAGAGCGTAAGATAAGAAGATATGGGTAGATCACATGTTATGGAATATATTTGGACATTTTGTGAATCAAAAGTTTAAAATCGACAAAAAAGTGTGTGTCTACCATACTAACTCAACAGCTGAGTGGGCCAAGTTAGTAGGTATCATCATATCAGCTGTTTTTTTTATCTATTATTAAACATACACCTCCCCCATAGACTGCCATAAAGAATGGCTCTAAGCCACCTGCATCCATTGACTCTTTGCCAAATTTTTGATATCGTCACTCCATCTAACGGAGAGTAGTTATACACTGTTTGCCTGTATGGGGTCTCCATTCAAGAACCTTTCTTCCTCATCAGTTATCGGTTCTTCGAGTTATGTGATCAGTCTATTGCTTACTTATCTTTCGGCGTATATCGGTCACTAGTTTTTTGTGGATACCCTCATTTCGGATTCAATCACGCAAAGTTTGTAGGTATGAGAGGTTCATATTTTTTCGTATTTTTTTTTGCTTATGTTTCTTGGTGACAGTGTTCAGCTTCTCTAGTTTCTAGGGTAGAATACCCTTCAAAGGATCTTAAATATTTAGTATTTCTGTATATTCATGTACGCATTAGTGTTGTCTAATAATCGATTATTCAATTAATCCGGTTTTCACCCAGAAATTGAATCTGTACCATAGATATGAAATTGTACTCAAATTTATCGATATCGATTGATAGCTTGTTGCAATCATGTATTACTAGTCAAAATAATATGTTCAAAGCGACTAAACGTTAACAATACTAAAACTTTTAGATACATTGCAACTTTACTTTGGCTATATTGAATTTCTGAATTAGAAGGTAAGCTATTAACAATGAACACGTTCCTTTTAAGATAATGTAGTTTGTAAACAATATTGACGGTTAATGCCAATAACTGCTAACAAACATGGACAGAATTCTTCAAGTGTCACAGATAAAATACTAATTCTGATTTTATACAAAATACCAATAAAATGTATAGTCAATTAAATGGTTTTTATATAAATTCTGAATACTTTGTTATGAAAATAATTTCTCTATGTAACATAGAAAAGGAGATAGGTAAATTAAAGGTTGTCTGGAAGAGATTGCTTAAGCGATAAGACCGCGTAAATATGTATACTGTTTTGTATTATTCTTCAAGTAGTGCAATGAAGAATAAATAATTAAATTAGAAAATATGTCTACATGCAAATTCTTACTAATATTATTAATTTGTACAAAGTCTCCCAATCACATTCGATTGGGAGACTTTGTACAAAAGTCGATTGCTTGGGTACCTCTGTCCCATTCGTGTTTCAGCCGTGAAGCAGTTGTGTTTGCATGGCTGTGTTTCGGTTTGAAGGGTGGGATATGGCGTGAATTTACTGGGTACAGAGGAATAACACCTGAGTCCTCAGGAATGGCAACGCATGGGGGGTATCATGAGCGAGGCAGTATACTCTGTTGTTTCCATGGTACTGCTCATGTCAATAGGCGACGGTTATCACTTTCCATCAGGTGGGCCGTCAGCTTGTTTGCCATTCTAAGTTGTATAAAAAAAAATGTTAAAATGACTTTGTTTGTTTGTTACCTTACACCACTCTAACAGCTTAACTAATCACTGTGAAATTTGATATACACTTATTATATGCCATGGAGGCTACTTACTTTTTTAACTCAGTCAGTAAACATATTTCGATTACTCGGATGAAGTCACGGGTAAAAGCTGCTATTTTATAGATGTTAGGAGATATTGGTGGTTAACCGTCGATATGTACCTACGTGTTTTAATCGGTGTACTAGAAAAGAAATTGTGACTATCGAAATATCTATACTGTTTATATTTTTATAGTTTGACTAGAATATATCTAATAATATACGTATTAATAAATATATAAAAGTATACATTACATACTGTGATAGGGAAAGCGCATAGATATGTGGTATTAAATCAGTTAGCCAAATTTTATACAGTTATAATTAATAAATAAATTATTACTATACTGCCTTGTACTTCCAAAACATTCTGAAATCTCATGCATTTTGAATTAATTTAGCAATTTAAAAATAATTCTTGGTTTCGTAATATGTGTAATGTTATTATTTCGTATATAATTTATGTGCATCTTTATATACTTTCATAACGTTAAGGCCTACGTAAAAGACTTGGACTCTCTAGAGGGAGACTGTAAGTCTTCTCGTGTTTCTGGCGTAATGTAGCTGTACTTTCATGGCAGTGTTTTTGGTTTTAAATGTGGCGATATGGCGATATGGATATTTTATTTATTTATTTAGGTTCACCAACAATTGTTTCCACAAAAAAAAATGTAAATATATATACAATTATGGAGCTCAGAACTAAGTGTAACAATTTTTTATAGGCAAACACAGCATATATTGATACATGTATAACAATAAGTACGGAGAAATATATGTATATAGCTTACAACTATTATTAAATGCTTAACAACTAAAGCCACCATATCCACAGGCAGATTCAGCAGCACGACTCATTTTATATATAATATTTACCGTTGTGGTTAATTTTTATTGAATTTATCACGATGGGCTAACTAACTTGTTTTCATCCTTATGTCTTTCAATGGTGTCCTGCCAGTGTATATTGATAGCGCAGGCGGAGTTATCATTCCATTAAAAAAATAATACATCATTGCAAGGCAAGGAAAACTTGAAACAAGACTATACCGAGCCGCATGGCCTTTTACGGGAGCCCCCATGTACTAGTTCAGCACGTTTATGGATTCCTATGGCGTCTGTTTGCGTGGGCCTTAACAATTATTCCTTAACATTTTTTTTATTACTGATACATAATAAGTTATTTTTTACTGTTTTCCGTTGTCAATTAACTATTTCAAATAAAAGCGAGGAATACTACTTATATTAACTATTAGACTTTCTCGCTGCATGTTTCATAAGAAACCGGAATTAAGGCTATTATTTAGGTAGACTATGACAATTTACTTGTATTATCTCGATGTTTCGACCACCTTTACTATGTCTAGTCTATTCCAGATTACAGTCGGTGTCATCAGTAGAGTTACTCTTCAAATAAGTTCCAAAATGTCTCAATTTCAATACTGATTTATCAGTATTGAAATTGAGACATTTTGCAGTCTCTAATGAGTGTAGTATAAAATTGTCATTGGCAATACATTGGATTGATATCGATGTTGGATTCGAGAGTAGACTAATTGGTAGAAATGTCGACAGAATTCAAATAAATTATCATATTTTATCTAAATGATCGACTCAATTCTTTTATAAGACATAATGATACGACTAGTATATAAAAAATTACGTGATGAAGTAGTTGTTGTTGTGTATAGATATAAAAAGAAGTATTTATCTGACTGAATAATGAAAGTATCTTTTATTAATATTAACTTCAGTTTTATGATATTACGTTAAACAATGAAAATAAGAAATGAATTTGCTTTAGGATTAAAAATACTTATGTCGACCTTATTTTATTTTAGTGTTTATTTTTATTATATAAGTTGTAACACAATCTTGTATTTGATTATTAATAAATTTAAAAGAACTAATTAATATTTTTGTTTTATTATTCTCTAAATCCCTGAACGGTCTTTAAGAATGGCATGTATTTTACAGTCTTTATATGTAGTGGTTAACAATTTATATCAGGTGTACCGCTAGGGACATAGAAGGAAATATAAAAACACAGTAAAATTTTATAATTTTTTTATTAGATAATAAATTATTATCCAGTTTCTTCAACAGCCATTGCGCTTCCGTTTCCAGACGGATCGATATCTGCACATTGATTATTTTGTTCTGTTTCTTGTGTTTTTTCTGAAAAATAAAAGTCAATCAATAATACTATATTAATAATAGGCAATAAAAATCATTCAAACTACTAAAGGACATGATAATTTGGTAATGTAATCTGGGCGTTTAATATAGATGAGTTTTTTGTCAAGGAAATCCCGACCTGGACATTCCATGAGGTATCACGGTTTGCCCGAATTATCATGTTTTGTTTAAAAAAAAAACAAAATCAATTGAGAAAAGCATGTTTTACTCATTTGGGTACGGGAATAAACGATATTATTAAAAAGCTACCGGCAGCACTCCCTAGGGGGAAACCTATGTTCAGCAAGGGACTGTTTAGAATTGGTAACGATATCGCTTACATAAAACCATATCTACATTCGAATTGATAACCTCTTTTTTAAAATCGGTTATAAAATGAGATAAAGAAACTTCTCAAAAGTTGTAATAAACAAATACGTGTAACGAAGATTCCAAATGGATCCAAGCTTACTTCTGGCGAACACGGGGGGTAATGTGGCGACGGTAAGGTAGCCGGTGTGCCCTGGGGTGCTGGTCGGCCACGCGCCCACCACATAACTAGTCTCGCTGCTTGGCTTCTCCTCCACGGGACTTTCGGAGCTCTGTAAAAAAAATAGAAACGTCTTATATATTTATACACTAGCAATCCGCCCCAGCTTCGCATGGTTGCGATTGGACATAGAAATTTTCTAAATAAATTATGGAAATGGCAGTGAAACTTGTATTACAATCAGTCGTGTAGTTTAGAGAAAGAAAAGGAGAAATAAATAGACGTTGAGAGTGACTACATTTATCATAACGCCAACAGTTTACAAACAGCTGTGAGCAGACTTCGTATAACGTGCTACGTATTTTTTTATGCAACTTGAATGGCAAATAAGCTGACGGCCCACCTGATGGAAAGTGGTAACCGTCGCCTATAGACATGAGCAGTACCATGGAGATAACAGAGTATACTGTTTTGCCCATGATACTCCCCATGTGTTGCCAATCCTGAGGACTCAGGTGTTATTCCTCTGTACCCAGTAAATTCACGCCATATCCCACCATTCACACCGAAACACAGCCATGCAAACGCAACTGCTTCACGGTAGAAACACGAATGGGACAGAGGTGCCCAAGCAAACGACTTTTGTACAAGGTCTTCCTCTGGTAAACGTACTATATAAAGGTGAGCATATTTATATAATATAATCATATTCACTCTCATTACATTGGGTTGGCTGGAAGAGATCTTTTTTTAGAGATAAACCATCCTTGCTACTAGTACCAAACTAATCGCTATATCTTTTTTTTCGAGTGCAATTATAAACATGCTTATATATATATGTAATAGTTTGTAAGGATGTTTGGATGCTTGAACTTCAAATAATATTTATTTATTCAATTACATCGTCATCGTTATATCAGCCGTTAACTATCCAGTGCTGAACATAGGCCTCCTCCATAAGGGGCATTTTGCGAGTAGTTGCCACAATTGAGAGGTGGTTTGGCAACTGCAGTTAGGCTTTTTCGATGTTTTAAGAGGGACGCTGCTGCCTATCCCTCGACCATAAAGTACCCTTAGTTCGCCCCTTACAATACCCCCAGGTATGAAAGATATTCAATCGGGCTCAAATAAAACGATATGGAGATAGTGATGCAGAAAATGTCCATATTACTTAGATGTCTATACCACATGAATCATTTTTGGATAGTTTAGCTCTATATGATAATGAAATGACAAGATTTTTTTTAAACAACTTAGAATGGCAAACAAGCTGACGGCCCACCTGATGGAAAGTGGTAACCGTCGCCTATAGAGATGAGCAGTACCATGGACATAACAGAGTATACTGTTTCGCCCATGATGCCCCCCATGCGGTGCCATTCCTGAGGATTCAGGTGTTATTCCTCTGTACCCAGTAAATTCACGCCATGTCCCACCCTTCAAATTGAAACACAGCCATGCAAACACAACTGCTTCACGGTTGAAACACGAATGGGACAGAGATACCCAAGCAATCGACTTTTGTACAAAGTCTCCCTCTGGTAAAGATTTGTAAGCGTAATATCGTAATTCTCGGGTTCTTAGTTACTTTCTAAATCTTAATCGGTGAGGTTCATGGTGCTATTTATGTCATTAGATGATGAATACTGCTTAGAATCAGGTCGGCCGTCAGCTTGTTTGCCATTTCAAGACGTAGGTATAAAAAAAAACTTTATTTATTAGTAAGTTTAATGGAATTCGCATTAAGTATTCATGAGATAAGTAAGGTTCCTTTTTAATAACAAACATGAAGACTAATCATCTGTCAGTGTGTTCGTTTGTCAGTTTAGTAAACCGCAAGGTCGAAAATTGTCTTATTATTAAGTGGTCCTCATTAGACGTTAAATGGGTGACGTCACCTCATCACTTGCGCACACGCAATATCAACAGACGAGAATTATGAGATGTACCATTAGGCACCTGCAGACAAAATACGTGCTTGATGGTACGGGACAGTCGCGAACAAAAACGTTTTGCCGTTTTAGTTTTTGCACTATTTAGCTCTACAGGCGTTAAGACATTAGCTTCTCTATGTTTGGGTACCAGAGGGAGACTTTGTACAAACTGTTTGTATCTATAGGAGACGGTTATTACTGTAAGTAATAAGAAATAAATGTCAATGGCATTTAATCTATTTTCACGTCAGCAGGTCTGTCTATAATTACAGTATCGATTGCAATGTTTGTTTGAGTGCTGAAGAAAGGTGTGTTATGTTCTTCAGCTGTATGTATTACGCAATGTATTTGTCTAAATGTATTTTTATAAATAGGGTGTCAGCTATCATTGGATTCATATTAACTGACGGCAGCAAAAAACAAAAAAAATGGCAGTCACGAACTGTTAAAAAAAGACTTTGTGACTTTGTTACGTCGACATGTTTTGATTGTTTTACTAGATGAAAATGAAACATTCGTTTCAGCTGATGGTAATAATCACGATCGTTTTTACAAGGGAAAGAAGTAAAGATCGACCTAAAAAGCTGCTAGCAATAGTATTAACGTCCTTTTTACTAACGAATACCTTCCCCTGATGGTTTAAATAGATTTAATAAGTTTTCAATGCGAACGTTTGTGACTGTACTTCAAGGGGGTCAGGGCGCGGAGCGCAATTATCGATGTCACGGCTCGGGTTTGAGACGTCGCGTCCTTCAGATGAACCCATCTCAAATACTCGATACCTATCTACTTGGTTTTATCTATGGGAACGCCATGAGCTTCTCTATTAAACAATTATTGTATTGAGGCGATTAAATATGATAATTGCTTACAAACGTGTAACTGGTAACTAAGAAGTGGCTAAGCGCGACTGGAAATTGCATAGGCATAGTATATCCTAATTCATATTTTTCCTCCTTTCAAAATATAGTCATATTACAATAAGGAGGGAATAATATTTTAGTCCTCAGGAATGGCAATGAATATCGGCGTAACAGCACATTATATGAAGTCCATCCGACCCATTGTCACTTCTAAGTTGCTAATATTTCGGAGTGTAACTGTCAGTTTCGTTCTTCTATAGAACTTACTGCTATTATGTGTAAAAGATTATAAAGATGTTTGTTGCTTAAATAACTGAACATATTTGAGTGAAATTTGGTACACGGGTAGGTTATATCGTAACTCATGTAACACAGGATATTTTATATATTATTATATTAGGGGTTTGACAAGAAACCTTCACTACTGACAGCACTTGATAGTAGAGAGAACAGTTGATATGCCAAGTAAATAATTTGTTGCCTGCGCACATGGTTTGTTTTAAACATTATATAAGGCTATGTTTTTATTCCCGCGTGGTCCGAGCATAGGACAGGCCACCCTCTTCCTTTACGTGGGTGTCTTAAGAGGCGACTAAGGGAGAGCGAGGGATGGACAGCAGCGTCCCTTTTAAAACATCTCTAACACCTAACTGCGGATGTCAATCCGCCTGCCACGCGTGCCAACTATTCATAAAACCCCCTTAGGGGGAGGCTTATGTTCAGCAGTGGATAGTTAAAGGCTGATCTAATAATGATGATATGAAACTGAAAATACATGATTATTGCAAGATATTGGTATTTATATGAATATTATTTTATATACTGATGCACCCGGGCAACGCCGCTGGTAACAACTAGTATTGTCATACCTCCAACTATAGTTTTTTGTAGTTCGCTGAATTACTTCGGGCCTTTCCAGATCCTTTACCAGAGGGAGACTTTGTACAAAAGTCGATTGCTTGGGTACCTCTGTCCCATTCGTGTTTCAACCGTGAAGCAACTGTGTTTGCATGGCTGTGTTTCGGTTTGAAGGGTGGGATATGGCGTGAATTTACTGGGTACAGAGGAATAACATCTGAGTCCACAGGAATGGCAACGCATGGGGGGTATCATGGGCGAAACATTATACTCTGTTATGTTCATAGTACTGCTCATGTCTATAGGCGACGGTTACCACTTTCCATGAGATGGATCGTCAGCATGTTTGCCATTCTAAGTTAAATAAAAAAAAACTTCTGGCTTCCTCATAAGGCACACATTATTATATAGCCATATACTCGTAATGCCGAATGTTGCCGCAAGATGACTCACGTCAATTTGGGAGTGCATGTTACATTTAAAGGATTATTATCCTTTCATGTCAGTGATAAAGGGCCATGTCATTAAAAGAAATAAGTGCGTTGCGCTCGGTAGCCAATAAGTGCATTATTTATTAGTGCATAAACGAAACCTTTAGTGTGCGTGCCTTTGAGATTATGAATTACGAAAATAGGATCCTTTCCCTTTTGGTCAATGATGTTCAACAAATTAATATGTACCAATCGTAGCATTAAATGTATCAAATTAAATACCTATTGTCACGTGGCCCTGTAATAGAATAAATCACCCCTTCCATTCCCGTGGGTGTCATACGAGGCGCATAATGGTCGAGGGAAGGGCAGCAGCGTCCGTCTTAAAGCGTAATCAAATTTCAAACCAAACTTGCCAAACTGCCTGCCAAGCATGACAACTACTGGCAAAAACCCTTCACTCGTAAACTATCATAAGGAATGGCCCAGTTCCTTGAGACAGTCTATCAAGGCCTATATTTGGCGGTGGACGCATGGCGGTTAATATGTCTTTTTTTTATGGGTGAAAATGGTATGGTAACCCCGCCTGCGCTAACGGGATACGCTGGCGGAGCACCAGTGAAGGGTGATTGATAAGAATGAAAACAGGCCAGTTAGCCCATCATGATGAATTCATCAGGAATTAACCATGATAGTTTCCAGGGGGTACTGCGAGGAGGTCGACCTGGTTAGGTATATTGCTAGCAATGGGATTCTTAGTCTGTTACTTTGATCTAAAGATCAATCGACTGAACCGAATTTGATAAATATTCTATGGGACCAATTATTAATACACATTTTCCAAATTTTAGAAAATATCGGTTGACACAGATATTCACGAGAACAGACACTGAAACACGAGATTTTTATATAAGATATAAAGAGGAATTGGCACAAATGTTGATGTAGTAATAATAAGTTGATGCAATTCGACGGCGCTTCGGGAACAGTCTTGCAATAGGAAGCCATCTGCATAATAATAGACAA